ATAACTCATGAACATAGGTCTGAAAATCAAACTGCAATGCCATGGTATATCATGGTATATCAACATTTTCCCATGTAAGAGGCCATGACATAGGTAATGATCGTCACTACTCGACAAACAGATTCAAACCCCATGACCTTACCAAAATCTGTGGTCCCCGTGATCTTGAATTTCGACCAGTGCGGAACATGACAGTGGATGTTTTTCGACGTAGACCCTTTTTAGGCGCACCCCAATGTGTGTTGTTGTGCGCTGGCAACCGGAGATGTTTAAAGCCATCAAACCAATACATATTGAATTCGATATCGGATGCAGATCGAAGCAGTGAACATCTTAAAAAAATTGCTTTACTTCGTGTGATCCCCACCATGACATTTATACATTTTCTTACTGGCAAATCTTCTGGCATTCTATCTGACATATCTTCTGACATTCTATTTGACATTCTATCTGGCATATCTTCTGGCATATGATCTGGCATATGATCTGGCATATCTTCTGGCATTCTATCTGGCAAATCTTCTGGCATTCTATCTGGCATATCTTCTGCCACTCTATCTGACATATCTTCTGGCATTCTATCTGGCATATCTTCTGGCATATATTCTGACATATCTTCTGGCATTCTATCTGACATATCTTCTGGCATATATTCTGACATATCTTCTGGCATATCTTCTGGCATATCTTCTGGCATATCTTCTGACATATCTATCTGGCATATCTTCTGGCATATTTTCTGGCATTCTATCTGGCAAATCTTCTGGCATTCTATCTGGCATTCTATCTGGCAAATCTTCTGGCATATTATCTGGCATTCTATCTGGCATATCTTCTGGCATATCTTCTGACATTCTTTCTGACATTCTTTCTAACTTTCTTCTGCACATTCTTTGTCCCATATCTTCCTACATGAGGTACGGCAGGGAACACTTGGCGTGGATACTCGCGGTTGAGGTCCGGCAGGGAACACTGGGCGTGGATGGTCGTGGTTGAGGTCCGGCAGGGAACACTGGCCGTGGATGGTCGTGGTTGAGGTCCGGCAGGGAACACTGGGCGCGGATGGTCGTGGTTGAGGTCCGGCAGGGAACACTGGGCGCGGATGGTCGTGGTTGAGGTCCGGCAGGGAACAATGGGCGTGGATGGTCGTGGTTGAGGTCCGGCAGGGAACACTGGGCGTGGATGGTCGTGGTTGAGGTCCGGCAGCGAACACTGTGGATCGCGGATCGCAGTTGAGCAAGGACGACGAGGACGACGAGGACGACGAGGAGGACGAGGAGGAGGAGGAGAGGAGGAGGAGGAGCAGGAGGAGGAGCAGGAGGAGGAGCAGGAGGAGGCAACTGACATAAAATCTAACAACCCTCACCTGGCAGGTGGGGAAAAAACTAATACAAATTTCGACACATAACCTGAATTGCTCAACAGTGTATCATGATGTATCATGAGTATCTTACACACCCTCTTCATATTGCAAAATGATACGGCTTTCTTGATACTCCTCGATAAGCATCACTTCACTTCCTTTTGGGTTTGAATCACAATTCAACCAGTGTTTCAGCTGATGTTCGCCTTTGACCTGCCAACAGTGCGACCATTTAGAAGCAAAATCATGGAAACTTGGTTGGTTCTTCATTTTTGATGAAACCCTGATGTGGGTTGCTTGTAACATTGGAATACATAGGGTTCTCAGCCCAAAATCCAGTGGTTAAACAAATCCATGAAAACATGAGGTAAACCCACCATTTCTGCACTCCCCAAATATCCCCAAATCATCTTGTTACACAATTGTTGGTTATCAGTCCATTGCAGTCGCTTCTTTTCCCATGAATCCAGTGCTCAGTCGAATATCCCATGTTTGTTAATTAATAATGTTCTTTGTAAACTAGTATGTTTGTTGGTTTTATCCGCATTATAAATAAATATATAACCACTATACATCAACAAGTATGTCAATATATAATTACATAAAACAACTACGCTCGGTATTGTACATTCTATTGTATATAGAGTCAAACCTTATATGATAGAAATGTACTACAGTGTATACACTATATCCCCATATATCCCCAATTTTTCGTTGCTGAAATTCGCACGATCTTCCCATGACGTGAAAACTCCGGGCTGCCCACAGGTGAAGCTCCAACGTTCCTTCTCAAGCTCGCCATGGCGACACCGAAGAATGCAGCGAGGTAGATTGTTTAACACGCTTAGGGATATTATAAACCATGATAATTAAAAAACGATCATGATTCATAATGCAAATTTGACATATTTGCAACAGTCCTTAAATATGAAATTCAAAGTATATATATATATAAGGATTCAAAATGATTCAAATATAATTATGGTTTCATGATGGTTTATGATGCTTCGTAATGATGTTTAATGAATGTACGATGATTTATGGTGATTATAAACTGTACATGTGTATTGTGATAATATACATAGGTGTGGTATGTAATTGGGATGTTCATGTCTCTTGTGGGCAAATCCCCGACAAATTGCACGAAATGCCTGATTTTGTTGACTGCCATGTTGGATGGCTCATCTTTTGAAAGGAACCGCTTGGCGTAGAAATGTAGGTGCAAGTCACATGATTCACATGCCAACAAATTGTTCCAATGATTTTTGGGCCTGAACTGTCGGTTTTTTTGGGGTTCTTTGTAGACTTTTTTCCCATGAATTCGCGTTTCAAGAATGCTGTTTTGGTATCTTTAGAAGTGGTCGTCAAAAATGCCATGCTCTTCGATGCGCTTGAGCAAAGAAGTTTAGCCCGATGAGAATGAACGTGGGGGTCTGCTTATTTCTCCTTTCGCTCCCCTCATCGTCCATTGGCCCCTGAACCCTGCTACGCTATACCAGTGAAGGAGCGGCAAGGAGTGATTTACGGATTCTTTTTTAACCAAGTGAGAACCACAAACCCGAATGCAAAAAAATGACACGTATACAAAACCTTTCCAGTCCCTTGCATTTGCTACTCCAGCCCACTGCCAAACAGTAACAAGATGGATGAAAAGGGTAGAAGGGTACATAATTTACATATATTACATTACTAGTAATAATCAAAGAAAGGAACATATTTACATGTCAAAGTGTGTGGGATGTGTGGAAAGAATATGCATGTATTCCCCGAGCATTGTGTAATACAACTCCCGCGGCAAAAACAGGATACCAAATTCATCTAAATTCATCTAAATTCATCAATCCCAAGCTCGAGATCTGAAACCTGTTTGGCATCGTCATTCGTTCAAAACTCTGACTGTTTCTTTTAACCTGAAACTCACCTTTTGAAGATGTTTTTGAAAATCCATTTCCTCAGAAAGAAAGAACAATGACTTTGACATTTTGGCGATGCTGGGATGAACCTTGCAGAAGTCAAAGTTCGCCTCGGCCAAACCTTGGTGTGAGGAGAATAGCAATGGGCTCAATGCTGTCGAGGTTTAAAACAAATGGTAAATCTTGGATTTGTCTGTGACTCAGCAGGCGTGTCTCAACTTTTCTAAACGACATTTGTCCAAGAACGATGCTTCAGCAAACCAACTCATTATGATTGACATTGATTGACCGAAACATACCGAAACACTTTCTTTCTGCTCATGTAGGCTGGTCTTTGATGAAGAGTTGCCGTGTGCTTCTGTCAGGCAACTCATTCAAATAAAAAATATATGACTGTATCTGTCTTTTCGAACCAGCCTGGCGAACCCGAGCACAAATGCTACTGACTCATTCGCAAATGCTCGACTTCTTGAGGGCTGACTCCAGTGCCGTATTGCTAGTCTTCTACTACTTGCCACTCTCCTTCTGATAGACAGAAACAGGGAGGTGAAGAACATAACCTTTCCCCAGCCAAAACTAACAATCTCCCATGCAAAACTTTAAGTGCCCGTTCAAATGCTTAGTTCCCTGCAGGAAACTTTCCCACACAAATCACTGGTTCTGCTTGAGTTTATACTAAGAAGTTTTCTTTGGGAGATTACGTGTTCAAACATAGTGTGGCTCCAGACCGTGTAAAACATTGTTTAGACTTCCCGTCCTTCAGTAGCATCTTCGTCTTCGTGGTCATCCGCTGCCGGTGGCTGCTCTGCTTGGAAAAGGCTGGCATTGACAATCGTCACTCCCGTAGATATGCCTGCAGATATTGCTGCAAAGACAGCGGAAGCCCCGGCAATCCATCCTGAGTAGCTGGCAGTACCAGCACTGGTTGCAGCAGCCCCTGCACTGGTTGCAGCAGCGCCTGCACTGGTTGCAGCGGAAGTTGCACTGGTTGCAGCAGCAGCAGCGCTGGCGCCAGCATAAGCAGCACTGCTTGCCGCAGTAGTAGCACTGCTTGCCGCAGTAGTAGCGCTGCCTGCGGCGGCAGTAGCTTGGGCAGGAGCGGCGACAACCGCAGAAACAATTTTGGCAATGACTGCGCCCACAGGTGCCAGAGAGGAAAACCAATTCAGGACCATTGCTCGCAGGTGGATATCGGCGTTTCGCCCCGACAGAGCCCGAAAGAGGTAGTTGCACGCCTGTCTTGACAAACAAGGGTATGGCAGCTTCAAGTTTGCACTCTTCGAGCTTTGATTCCCCATTGAGTCAAAGTGTTTCAAATCCTGACAAATCAACCAGCAACATAAGCACAATCAAAGCCGAAACGTCTGCATAGGCAAAGTCGAGAAATCTCGGGAGATGGTTCGGAAACTGCAAGTCTTCATCCAGTAAAGTTTCAAATCCTGAGCGACTTTGTTTTGTGATACAGTTAACGCAACACCACTAGACAGCGCAAATCTCTGGGAAGCCCCGCTGATTCAGAAATGAAGATGACGGTGATGGGCAAGCCACAACGCCGGAACCAAAGGACACACTCAAAAATCTGGTCGTAACGTTGTCAGCCAAAATCCAAGAAACAAAGTATCCAAGACACCCCTCAGCGAACACCCGCGCGCGCACACCACAAAAAATATACACGTCTATCATTTAAGCAAGAAATATATAGAAACCATTGAGGCCCTCCGCGCCTCCACGATTTCCAGCTCAAAGAAATCCTCGGCTCAGCTGCGGGCCTGCTCCCAACTAAATCATAGCCGCCGTAAAGACATGTCCAGCAACTTTGGGGGGAGACATCCTCAAAAAGGATAAACATGGGCAAACCCCCAAACATCACCTAAAGTCTGAGGTCACAAAGGATGATACAAATACTTTGGTAGAAACAAGTCATACTATCATCAGACTGTACTCTATGTAAAACCTTCATGTCACGGATTTTGAATGAAATTGTTATACAGTTAATCTGATTACTCCCTTCTTCCTATTACTAAAACACCCCCAAATTAGGAAAAACAATGATTGGTTTGGCACGTCTGATTTTTGGTTGGACACAATTGGATTCTTAATTGTGGTAATTGAGAAGCAATAGGAGAACACTATGATGAAACAATGGGTTCAACCGCCTATGAATAAAATAGGTTGCCACCTGGAGGTTTTTTGATTAGGGTCCCATCTCACAAGTTTTATTTGTTATTCCCCACCTGCCAGGTGAGGGTTGTTAGATTTTATCAGAGCTGTTGTCCTCCTCCTCCTCCGCCTCCTCCTCCAGTTTCTCCCCGACCATGTTTGCATCAACTTCCACCTCCACTTCCGCCTTGCCAACTCTTCGCCAAGCTCTTCGCCAACTTCCGGGCTCAGTGCGCACTGCTGGACCCCAACACCTTCCCAGCTCAGTGCGCACTGCTGGACCTCAACACCTTCCCAGCTCAGTGCGCACTGCTGGACCTCAACACCTTCCCAGCTCAGTGCGCACCGCTGGACCTCAACCTGGGACCTTCCCAGCTCAGTGCGCACCGCTGGACCTCAACCTGGGACCTTCCCAGCTCAGTGCGCACCGCTGGACCTCAACCTGGGAACTTCCCAGCTCAGTGCGCACCGCTGGACCTCAACCTGGGACCTTTCCAGCTCAGTGCGCACCGCTGGACCTCAACCTGGGACCTTCCCAGCTCAGTGCGCACCGCTGGACCTCAACCTGGGACCTGCCGAGCTCAGTGCGCACCGCTGGACCTCAACCTGGGGCCTTCCGAGCTCAGTGCGCACCGCTGGACCTCAAAAGCCAGATAGAATGCCAGAAGATATACCAGATAGAATGTCAGATAGAATGCGAGAAGATATGCCAGATAAAATGCCATAAGATATGCCAGATAGAGTGCCAGGAGATATGTCAGATAGAATGTTAGAAGATATTATGCCAGATTGAATGCCAGAAGGTATGCCAGATAGAATGCCAAATAAAATGTCAGATAGAATGCCAGAAGATATGCCAGATAAAGTGCCAGAATGTTTGCCAGATAGAATGCCAGAAGATTTGAGTAGATAATATGCCAGAAGATATGCCAGATAGAATGCCAGAAGATATGCCAGATAGAATGCCAGAAGATATGCCAGATAGAATGCCAGAAGATATGTCAGATAGAATGCCAGAAGATTTGCCAGTAACAAAATGTATAAATGTCATGGTGGGGATCACACGAAGTAAAGTAATTTTTACTATTAAGGTTTTCATTGGAATATTGGAAAGCTTCGAAATCCAGTTATTGGCAATATTTTATAGAGATTTTAATAAGGGATTTAATCAAATTTGAAATCGAGTCTTTTATCTTTATTATTAGAATTGTTCATTGGAATATCAGGGGCACCCCAATACTAAATACCCACTAATAGTAAAAAAAGATCACCGTGTTTACTATTTGGGGAGGGGGGGTGGGGGGGTGTTTTAGCAATAGGGAGAGAGGATTATACACTTATACAATGGCAATGGTAATGAAATGGATCAAAACCAGATCAGGAACTAACTGCTCTTTAGCAACCAAAACGCTTTCTTGGCAAACATTTATTCGGAAGCCAAACCGTCCTCTTCAGAAAGTACATACCCGATCAAAACCATTCTTCGGAAACCAAAACATGCTCTTCGTTTTTCGGTGTGGCTGGATGTCTATCGAGTCTATCCCCTCAATCAAAAGTATCATGCCCTATGGATCCAACTACCTTCTGAGGAAGCATTTGGGGTATGATGTTGACCAGCAGGACTACAAGTTCAAGATCACCCAAAACAATGTGGGTTTATCTGAAAAAAGGGTAACCCACTCCATCCACTGGTTTATTTGTAATGTTCCCAATCAATATAGTTAGATTTGTAAATTACATTCCCGCTTCTGTTGTAGTTAGAACCCCTATAGAGATGGTGTTTAAATTGATAGTCAATGTCTAAGCGATCAGGGATTCCCAGTTCATGGATGATGATAACCCAATATATTGGATAATACTGGATAGTATAAGAACCCCCTACAATCAATTGTTCTGGGGATTAACCATACGTGTTATACTCGAATGGTTGGTGAGTGCCACTGCTCATAATATAGATAATACCCGATAGCGTAGTAACAATCAACAAAGGTGCTTTCAGTCCCAGTATTATCCAAATATCCCATGAAATCCAACGAAACATCTCATAAACCCACGCTCTATCCCCTTGAATCCCGTTATTTTCCCATTAAATCCCATGAAATCGGATTAAAATTCACAAAATCCATACTATATTCTTATATTTGTATATCCATACTATATCCTATTGAATCCGCAATATGAACCCATCAACCAGGCTATTGTTCATTCAAATCCTGTTAAATCCGTTAACATCCCGTGAAATTCCCACTAAAATCCATTTATATCCTATTAAATCCCATCAAACTCTTATTAAATCACCATTCTTCTCCTTTGAACTTGCTGTTGCTCCTCTAAAAAACAGCCCCCGTCTCCCCCGTCTCCACGTTCGGTTCGGATGAGCCGAGGCTCTGCTTGGTAGACGTCCTCCGCAGCTGGCTGGAGGTCTAAAGCATGGGCCTTGGCGAAGAAAACACCATGGCATCAGAAACAAAATTGGGGATTTGGATCCCATGGTTAATTGATTTGTATAGTTTCTGATGCCATGGTCAGTGCATTAATTAATATTAATTAGTGCAATGCATGGCACCATTCATCAGAAACAACAGCCCATGATTAGTGCAATCGATTCGATGCTTGATTAATTTGTATAGTCGGATGAACATTACCAACATGGATACATTAACTATAGACATCTTAAATGAAGATATCAATTATCTTGGAAATATGTTGAAACTTCAGATCAAACCATCACAGAATTGCATTGTATTGGAGGAATATGGACTTGGCAATGTATAAAAAAAAATGAAACTATGTTGTCAGCTCTGGAATTCGGGAATTTGCAAGTCAAAAACATGGAGGTTTTATTACGCAATAGAAGATTAAGGGATTTATATAAAAGACTCCAAAATTTGGCTTTTACAAGCAAAGATGGGGATTTGTTTATCCACAGAAATCGGTGAATGAATATTCGATCGAAATAGAAGGATTAAAAACATATTCAACCCCTTTCAAACCACAAAATTAGACACACAATCATTTTTAACGAACAAACATGGGGAGTTCAACCTAATGAGACACTTAGCTACCTGGACATCCCAAGGTTGTATTTATTTTGTACTCGGCTGATCTCAAAGAACGTATTTGTCCTTCCTGTCCATCCCTGAACCTGTCCCACCCCTACCACCCCCGTGGTGTTGACCTCGACCAACTATCGGAAATTCCGCGTTTGTTTTTGGCGCGATTGTGTTCAAAAAACGGAATGTTCCAATTCGCGCACAAACACGGCTGCAAAGCCATGTGGGCCATACCACAGGTTGCTCAAGAAAACGTCTTTGTTTCTGAACATGTATCAAAACATGCATTAATTTGTTTGAAAAAAACACTGTTTTCCAAACAAAGACAAACAAATGCATACTTATGGCTGCCTAGGCAGTACTGATAAGCCATTTGCTTATTGAGGATGCTCAGCAAGGCCAGCACTTCACCATCTGGTTCAACTTTGTGCAATATGTTGAAGCAAAAAAAGAAAGCTTTTGCTGCACTGGCCGTGAAGTTCGACACGTCTGCTTGCAGGCTCCAGTGTTCTGTTGGATGCCCGATCAAGGAGTGAGTGGAGGCCAGGCCAGGTGGCTAGCTGGATTGTGGCGGTAATGCACTGCGCAAGTCAGCCTGTGTCTGACTCTACTTCTGAAGGGGGTAGGCCACCGCAATCTGAATACTTTCGGCTGTGTCTGCAATTCAGCCCAAAAAATCTGTTGATGAACAAACCAGGATTTGATTTAACCAACAAAATTTACGTTGAATTTGGTAAACAAGCAAGTATGATGTTTTTGGTTCAGCAAAAGGTGTGGATGTAGGCAATATATGCGAGCATATGTGAGGATCTATACAATTAGCAAGCAAATGTGGGGTTCAGCTTCAACCAGTTAAGATGAGTGTGTGTGACAGTGTGCGCGCGTGTTTTTTCTTTTGCCTAGAAACAAACACTAACAATCTGAGGTAAAACCAATGATGCATCTTGTGAGACCCACAATGTTTTTTTTGCGCTTGCTGAATCCCCCTGCTTTTGTTTGGAGTTGGGTGCATGGCTTAGTATTAACAATTTGCCAAATCAAATAGGGATTCAACCAACAAAATTGTGTGATGTTTCAGTTAAGGTATTTTCACATTTTCCCACGCACAGAGATTTGAAAGCAACTAATCTTGCAACTACCACTAGCTTCAAATCAAATGACGGTTTTCATTAATTATTGATTAAGTCAGCAACCAATCCTTTCCCAAACACTGTTTCAACTTCAGGTGGGGCAACCACTCAATCCCCCAACTGCTGACCGGGTTGCCTCAACGTAAAAAGGCCAGTCTTTGAATCGGTTGATGCCTCAGCCGCAGGCGTCACTCGTCGTTTGTCACAACTGGGTGTTGTGGAGCAAATGTTTTGTGTTGAACATTTTTTTGCTTAAAGTTTTTCCCCACAGAAATTTCAAGAGGCGTCAAGTGCAAACATTCGAGATTATGTATTCAGTTTTTTTTGAATAAAAGTATAACTTGTTTGGAATATTGAATATATAAATATGTCAAAAAATCAACAACACTCACAAAATCCAGGTGTCATATTGTTGGATTTGGAATTCATCTTTGGAAACTTTCACATCAAACTCATTGGTTTCTGGCCACAAATTTATCTGAAAATAGGATGCATCAAAAAAAACATTTTTTTCAAAACCTGCTTTGTCGTGTTACAATTGCCATTGTGGAGTATCCCGCCATTTTCACTGTTTTGGGCAAACAAAATTTGATCAGAGTGTGTGGTATTCCCATGTTAACCCCCATTATTATTGAACTTACCAGATTCAAATACCATCATTCATTTTCCTTTTTCTTCTTTGAATGACCTAAGTACTAGAATTGTACTACCACTTACTAACCAGCTACTAACCAGATTCCTCTCAGTGGTGGGTTCCTAAAATGAGGTTTCCCCTAAATCATCCAAGTCATTAGACCATAACTTAATATTGAAACCTATGGTGATTTGGGAATCCCCAATTTCAAAATATTTTAAGAAACCTCCAAACAGTCCATCTCCAATGATGACTATTCTCCCATTATCAATTTTCCCATTCCATTTCCATCATCCCATCATCCCTTACCACATATTTCCCGTGCAAAAATCCATTCAATCCAGTGGTAACTCCCCAATTTTCCAGGCATCTTCCCATGGGATTTCCATGGGTTTCCCATGGGTTTTCCCATGGGTCTTCCCAGCACCACTGAGCTGCTGGAGCCGATGTCCAAAAGCCTCACCGGCGGCTCCACGGGCTCCGGCGCTTGCGCCAGCGTCAGGCCCTCGGGCACCTGCTGTCCAAGGCTCTGATCACCAAAAAATATTAAGATATGATAGAGGATCAATGAGAAATACTAATCTATATAGACATAGCTTAAAATCTTATATTATTATGATTCTGATATTAAATATTAATATATCATCTATATTTAAATATTAAAATGTCCATACTAATCTTAATATTAAATGGTATGAAATGATATAGACATGATATAGACATATCTCTGAAATTAGAACTTATAGAAATGACACGATATTAGTATTCCGATAGATTATAGATATGAAATGGTAGACATTAATCTTTGGGAAATGATATCTATATCAATCAAATCATATTCCATCATATTCTATAATTATCCCAAAAATGATATGAATGATAGGGGGTATGATATGGGAATATGATAGGATATGGTAAACATATGAACTCATATGATAGAATATGATAGAATATGATAGAATGTGATAGATATTTTTCACAAAATGCAACAAATATATGAGGATATGATAGAGATACAAATGGGAATCATGGGATACAAGTGGAATATCATTGCCCAATTGATTGGATAACTTGAGGTTCTAACGAGATATTGATGGGAATAACATGAGATAGACACATGAATTGAAATATGTGCCAACATCAATTGGGATTGTAATAAGATTTAGATAGATTTAGTATGATTTAGTGGAATATAACGGGATATAATCGGATATTAAACCGAGATTGTGGACATTGTAGTGCCACACAACGTTAGCAAAGTTGGAGAACATTTCACTAGGCAAATGCTAGGGTTTATGGTAGATGTATTGAGCTAGTTAATGGTTATAACAAACCTATCACTGGGGGGCACCACATTGTAAATAGCATGGGAATGTAATTGTATATATAATGAACAATATGAGGATCATAATAAAAAAGTGGATAATCATCTGTTGATGCTGATACTAGTTGGATCTTGAGGGATTTAATGGAATCATTGGCTAACTAACTAGACATTTGCATTCTAGTACATACTCAGTTCCCGGGCGAAATTATTTAGAACATTGGGTAGCATATGGATAGTAAATACCAGTACTGCACAAGGCGTTGGCGGAAGTTTCAAGGATAGGACACTATAGGGGAGGTGAAAAACAGAGTGAATCGCAACGTTTCTACCTTTTCACGCACCTGCATCTTCTTTCTTCTCACTCTTATCTTTCTCTTCTCTGATCTTCTCTCTTCTTCTCTTCTCCTCTCCGACTCTTCCCACCTCTGCTTTTCCATCTGACTTCTAAACTTCCTTCGATGATATGAAAGTGAGATAAGACTTGGGATAATACAGTACGAGTACTTGGACAACAATCAGGTGTATATATATATAATAGATAAACATGGGATAACCCTTCCTGTCTCATCAGGTCTACCGCTTCACGATCGTTGCTAGTGAGAGGGACCAACAACATGCGACAAAGATCTTCTCGTAACGGCACGGCAGCGACCATCCTTGTAAAGAAATCCAAATATAGCGCAGTTGTGGGCAAGATGAAAGGACAGGAATAGACAACCTCCATTGCGGTGCTGACCATATGCTGCACAGCTTCAACTGTGCTGCCAACTTTGGCCTCGCGAACAATGAATGGGCTGACCCCTCTGCGCACACTCTTCACCATGTGCATACCCATGGCACTTGGCGTCACCAGGCCGAGCATGCCATGTAGAAAGAACACATAGCGAATTTGCGCCCAGGGCAGTTTCATAGCTGCGGGAGCAAGCTCATAGGTGAGTCCCACACCGTCAACAATGACGTCACCAGTTCTGTCCATGACAGTGGCAAAAGGGCTGAAAAGCCAAGGTTTCTTGCCCGTAAATGGTTGAATCTAGCTCATGGCTTATGATCATCCCCAAATCTTGGGAAGTATAACCTCCCTATCATGAAACTGCTCATATAACGATCAGAATCAAATTTGTTTTAGATTGTATAAGTTGCAATTATCGCGTAAGTTTATTGGGTCCATGTGGCACAACAAGTTAAACAAAATTGAGTGATTTAGGGTTAAAACTCCGGTGAAATTACTCCCAAATGAAAAAAACGGAGTTCTGTATGTTCCTGTAATCAACGAAAAAACACATGCTGTGAAAAAAGAGGTTGGGTTCAATCTGTGATACTTTCCCGCCCATGGATCCATATGGATCCAGAAGCCGGGCATGGATGGATGCACTCGGATCCAAGTGCCCGCACCTGGTTCTGCATTCTCATCTTCTCCTTGGTGCTTTACGATGAGTGCGTAGAGCACGGGGGATGATGTCAGAATTTGGGATACCAATGGATTCACACATGGCTGGTCATTTTATGTTTAAACCAAACCAATAAACCACTAGACCATCATCATGGATTGCGAGTCAATTTTGGAGATTTCAAGACTGACTCGCAACTGGCTGGTTTTAGATCCAACTGGGCTTCAACTGGCTTGATTTTTGATCGTACCCATATCCAAAATGTTGCTAACGTGAGATCAAATGATAGGATACATACATGCAAAATACCAGGCAGGTGGGTACAAACACCTTTCACAGTGTGTTTAGAATGTTTAGAATTTCTATTCTTACTTTGTAATCTCACGCTCTATCACACAATGTTTGCTGGCCAAGAGGTTTTAGTTTCTTGTTTGCCCAAATGTGTCCATGCTAACTTCATTGCCCCTTCTTGCCACTTCAATCTCTCCATGTAATCATGGCTCAAAACCCCTTGGTAAACATCCCGCAATGAGCCGTTGCGATTCTGATCAACCCCATGTTGGATCCTTTGGAGTTCTTTGGTACCCACAACCATATCTCCCAATTTTGGGATTTGGTATTGACCCATAGATGTAGTCCCAATATTTGGGATCATTTGGCAAAGGTCTATGTCTATACTTAATGGATTTTAATAGTATGTCAAATGATCCTGAATTCTGCTGCGAACCTTGGCCCTTTGCCACAGCCATCGAGGGGCTGGGTTCCAAAACATCCGTCTGCCTTGCAGTGTATATTCCCGCCAACCTGGGGTCAAGGGCCTGGGTAGGTCTCAAAATGGTGGATGCAACCCCTAAGTGGGGATAACTATGGTAATAACCTCCAGAAGTGTCGATATAACCCCCTACAACTATGCTTATAACATCTTATACCTGTATATTATATAGCCCACTTATTGGTGGTACTGCACCCCCAAGTACACCAACATAGCATGACGTGGCATTTTTGTTTGCTGAACATGATGGTACATCATGGGATCTTGGGGTGCCTTATTTTCAGTCAAATGCACCTCAGAAAATAGACATCGCATTCGTCCAACAAGAAGCTTTGTCAGTTGTAGTAGAACTTGGCTACAACTGTACTTCCAAAAATTACAGAAAGCTTCCTGTGTACTTCCACGTCACCCATCTGCAAAAGGAGTACAAATTACAGAGTAGTACAGCATTTCGTCCAGTCTGCGCATAAATTGAGATGGGGAAGGCAAACTAGTCGCAAGACAGATCTAGACAGGTAAATCTCGTTAAACACTAAAAATGATATCTGCTGTCGGTGTTGTCAGGAACCTGATTGCTGAACACCACTTGAATGACAGTATCAAAATGACGTACTTCTGTGGGGCATTACTTAGTAGTTTAGTAACCTTGGTTAGGAAGTCCCAGATTCGTGGGTTATCCCATGTATATATATATATGGTGCAGCGTTGGCCACCCCCCCTCCCCCCCCCCACCAATGGGTATGGGTGGACAGTATCGTCTGGTTCTTCTGGCCCCCCCCTGTGGCCTGTGGTGGTGGTATGGTTCTTCTGGTCCCCCCCCCGCCCTGTGGCCTGTGGTGGTGGTATGGTTCTTCTGGTCCCCCTCCCCCTGTGGCCTGTGGTGGTGGTATGTTGGGTATGTTGGTATGTTGGTATGTTGGTATGTATGTTGGTATGTTGGTATGTATGTTGGTATGTATGTATGTATGTATGTATGTATGTATGTATGTATGTATGTATGTATGGAATGTAAGGTAAGGTAATGTAAGGTAAGGTAATGTAATGTAAGGTAAGGTAATGTAAGGTAAGGTAATGTAATGTAATGTATGTATGTATGTATGTACGTAGGTATGTAGGTAGGTAGGTAGGTAGGTGTAGGTATGTATGTATGTATATACACCACCACAGGGGCATCATACCCCCCCCCATCCCATGGGGGGGGGTGGGAACACGGGACACGGGACCATATATATATATATGACTTGTAGCTATGGTTACTAATCAGTTGCTAAGTGGGATGATCCTCCAAGTGGTATTCAAGGAGTGCTTCAACAAGGTTGATGCTTCGTCCACACCAGGAGCCAAGGCTTCACATTTCCCTTGGCGATGCATCCCAGAGACTGACTACGGTAATAACCACATTGTAAATTAAAAAACACTTATATACATGTAGTATGTATACAGTATAATATACATGGCATAGCCCCAGTCATATAGGGCTTCGAAAGAACTTGATATATTAGATGCACATCCGAGCAGAACAATGGCGAAGATCCCAAGTTGTGAATCCCGAGAAAAAAAAGGCAACAAGGCAGTACCTTGGAGAATAAGATTTTGCGATATCTAGCAAGTTGTTAGCCAGCTGTATCTCGGATACGAAAAACACAAGTCCGCATCCAATATTTTCTTTTGAGTATCTACAGTTGGATGATTCAAAAATCAATGTGTATTGGAGCATTCACTAGTCATCATCAACCAATTCGATAAATTGTTGATCTGGGTAAATTCAATATTTCACGACTATAACCATGATTCCAATGAGGTCACAGTGAGGTCACTATAATATACCCTTTTGCCCAAGATAGAGGTCCGCAGCCTAACTCAAGGTGAAACTGCGGCGTTTTTTGGTTGCCAACAGAACAAGTGAAGTGCCAGCCGGCAGCCCCATTCCCGGAGGCACCTTTGGGCAAGCGGTTGTTCTTGCAAAAGACCCAGGGCGGATGACCGCGATGCATCTGCCAGCCAGGCCCGATGGCAGGACTGTTCCAGTGGCACGTCATGATGGCCTTCTGTATTACCGCCTATTATGATTCAACCATCAAGCATCTTAGTAGATGTTAATATGAGATAGTACTTTTTACTTAATACCAGCACATCAAACAAATTCATGATATCCAATATTTCATAACCTCCGCAGCTTACCTCCGGCATCACCAGCGGCGCTCAGCGCCTGGTCCGCGGAGAGGAGGTAGTACTGATCGATGCGGTCAATGATGCGCTGATGCGATGCGCGGACCCACCACTCGTGGCCTCGTCATGTTGGTAAAGTCTCTGGTAAACTAACAATTTGCTATTGAACATGGCCATTTGCTGACTGTAGTTGGGGTATTTTACCTATTATTTCAATGGTGATCCATATGTTAGTTTACCAGATCAGCGCCATGGCTTATTGTTGTGTCACTAATGGAATAGACACTTGAAAAACAACAGAAGGCAACATGATGGCTGGTCCGAGTGAATCCTCACTACTTCCAGATTTCGGGCGGCGAAAATCATCAAACATGGTAGCACCATAGAAAAAACACGCAATCTTGTTTCCCAAGTCTCAAATGCGCAGAAAACATGGTACACAATTGAAAAACATGTCCAAGCTTTCAACATTTTTTCATGGCATATGATCCATGTGTTCCACGAGATCAAGGACACTTTGATGCAAGCGAGTTGCCCATGTATTCAGCTGCTTTGCTGTACTCCTTTGGCCAATCATCACGACGTGGGGATTTCCCTGGCTAAAATCGCTTAAAATCCAAATTATTGTTGCCTCTCAATTTTCCTGAACAGACTTCATGTTTTGTCCCATGAATCCCAATGTGTTTGTTCAACCTCCCCATACCTCTGATACTAAAATTCCCAAAAGGTACCCAGGTACCCCTTGAACATGCTTGAATCAATCCTATTTCAAACCATACCAAAACCCACTGTTTGATGGTGAAATCCTACTAAAATCCTATTAAACTCCATTTGTTCATGCCCAAATCCTATTGAAATCCTATTAAAAAAACATATAAACAAAAAAAAACACATTTTTTTGCCAAGAAAATCCCAACCTCCCAGGGTGAAACATCGCGTCCTCCATATCAATCTCCTCGCCATCCCGCAGCGCCTCATGCTGCTGGGCGATGTCCTGAAAGACCTGGCGAAAGCTGGGGCCATGGAAATCCATGAGATGGCCATTCAGCCAAAATCATTGAGCAAACATAGGGAAAAACATGGGAACAACTGAAAACATGATGGAACCAATGTAGGCAAAAAAACATGATGGAACAAACATAGGGAACAAAAACACTGAAAACATGATGGACACACATAGGGAAACAAACTGAAAACATGATGGAACAAACATAGGAACACAACTGAAAACATGATGGAACAAACATAGGGAAACAAGTGGTAACATGATGGAACACACATAGCGAAAACAAATGAAAACATGATGGAACAAACATAGGGAAAAAACTGAAAACATGATGGAACAAACATCGGGGGGGAAAAAACATGATGGAACAATCGTAGGGAAAAAACATATGAAAACATGATGGAACAAACATAGGGGAAAAAAAAACTGACAACATGATGGAACAAACATAGGGCAAACAAATGAAAACATGATGGAACAAACATAGGGGAACAAACACATGATGGAACACACATCGGGAAAAAACTGAAATCATGATGGAACAAACATCGGTAAGCAAACTACAAACATAATGGAACAAACATAAGGGGGGGGGAAAAAAACAACTGAAAACATGATGGAACAAACAAAGGCAACAACTGAACACATGATGGAACAAATATAGGGACACAACTGAAAACAAAATGGAGCAAACATAGGTCAAACAAACTGAAAACATGATGGAACAAACATAGGGAAACACACTAAAAACATGATGAAATAAACATAGGGAAACACATGGGAACTATTAAAAACAACATGGAGCAAACATAGGGCCAGGGAAAATCATGCGAAAACTTGAACAAATGATGGAGGAAACATTGGGAACAGCATGGGAAAAATTGAAAACATCATGGAAAAACATAGGAAAATCATGCGCAAATTTGATTACATGATGGAACAACCATAGGAAAATTCATGGGAACATCATGGGAAAATGATGGAACATCAAAGGAAAACAATGGGAACATAACACGATGGAAAATCATAGGACAATCATTAAAAATGATTGAAAATTATTACAATAATCCGACATATGGGAAAAACAATGGGAAAATCATTGGAACATGATGGAACATGATAGAATACGACGATAAACCAAGGAATTCAGAAATACCTTATTTTACACCCAAACCTATATGTTGTCTTTTGTCGAGACAATGCAGCAGTCGATCATTTTCAAACAAGTAGTCGAGTTTCTTTGTTGATCACACTACCATGTTTGGCTGGTATGAAATACCCAACACTGTGGTTGTGAATGCTATCACAATGACCTTGATAAGCATTAGTTGGTGACAGCAAGGACAGCAGTACGGTGACAGGAACGGGGGATGGCAGGACGTCAACAATGAATAGTGATTTAGTGATTTTTTCCAACACAACTCAATATATCTGGGTAAATTATAATAATTCACTAAAAAGAATTAAGGCAATTTGGGGATGATTTCCCTTAATTACTAACCATGATTCAAGTGAGGTCGCAGTGAGGTCGTTATAATTTACCCAGATATATACGCGGGACTATACTTGGAAATCGCCCATTGAATGCTGGATGTTTTTAAATGATTCAGAATGGAAAGATCACAGGCACAGAATGAAGCACCCAAGATCTGCAGAGAGCTGTCCCAATCCCCCAAGAACAACAATAATGATATCCCACCAACATCACATAACATTGGTTTGGTTAGTGGCTAAATCCAACCCCCTAAGATTGGGTCTAGTGCAATATCCTAATGAATGATATCCCAATCCCCTAAGAAACACTCAATCCAATTATTCCCATTGGTTGGTGGTTAACATTGATCGATCGCCTGCGTATGTTTCCGACTTCTTTTTTCCAGCTCCAAGAGAACCTTCTCGACGCCTGGTTCAGGCCCAGGCTTTGAACAGCCAAGAAATCAACGAGGTTTGATTTTTTTAGATCATCCTTGTAGGCTCCAGGTATACTAAGTGTTTTTTATTGTTTTTTAATACTACCCTCTGGTAATCAAACATGGCTTGCTGGAATATCCTCCATTTATAGATGATTTTCCTATTGAAACCTCAGTGTTGCGGGATTTCCTTTTGCTATGTTTGATTACCAAATGGTGGAGAACAGACTGTTTGGTTCATAGAGATAGCTATAGTTTGATGGGTCAACAACCAAGAAATTATGTATGTCAAAGGAGGCATATAACATACAGGGATTTACAGGGGCATGAAACAAAGCATGATGAACGATGTTATGTCATATTCAATGCATGGAACATGGATTGACTGTCGTTGATTTTTTGAACGCGTGGAATAATAGTATGTAATAACCAAGAAATGTTGGGATATTAAAAAAAAACAATGAGCGGCAGGGTATAGGCAACAAAAAATAAAGAACAAAAAGGAATAGAAAATGGTGGCTCCCATCATCCCACCATCCCCCCTTGACAATAACACTCTATTATTGGTGAATAACAGTTACATTAATATAACATAATATTACTACATGATACAGTACCTCCTGTGAAAATACGCTGAGATTAAGTAGAGACAACATGTACTAAGCATCCTATTCATCTAGTGCGATGTTTTCCCAACACCATATGTTATCGTATCATACTCTGCAATATCTGATGTAATGTACAGTAATATCTAGTAATAGTTGTAAGTTATAACGCTACGTTAGTGGGATGTTGCTATCTGCTATCTACTAAACAAATCTAGAAAAGTGAATTATACTATACTATACTACAATAGTGATTCAAATATTTATTATTGTATATTCCGATCACAAGTTACTAACTTACATTGTATATATAGTAATATTAATAATCATCACTCACTATAATAAGTTTTTATACTCCTAAATGCAAAGTGTTACCCCTATATTACGGTAGTTACTATGATTACTACTAATAATGTCTCATACTAATAGTTAATTAGCATGGGAGTCATAATTATTACACTATTTCGTATAATTACTACTAATCATAATAGTAATAATTACCAATTGCTACTAAAGTAAATGTTAATAACTATACATTGGTTATCATAATTACTATACTAATAAGTTCTTATACTACCTATATATACACGTAATGTTAATAACTATAGTGACTCCTCCCATCCTCCATCCTCCGCCCACCCTCGGACCTCCCACGTGTCGCAGCAAGGGCTCCAGTCCCTCATGCATTTCGAGGCCGCGGCACAACTTCTTGGCCCACGCCACGCTGCGACTGCCCGTGGCCTTGGAAGACGCCGGCGTGGGGCGTGGTGTTGGCGACGTGGGGCTTGGGACCAAAACCTCGGAAACAATGGGGAAAACGGGCAGATTTCGGGGGCAATGAGAGGAAACTTCAGAAATTGATGGTGAGAAAGGATGAACTTTGGGATATTCTGGGAAATTTCTTGGAAAAGTTGGAGGAAACTTGGGAACTTTCCTGGGAACATGATGATTTTTTTGCGAGATTCCTTGGAAGAAACTTGGGAAATCGATTTGAAAAATTGGAACTTTGGGGTTCTCCCATTCTAGGACACCTGCAACAGGCAACTTCATTATTGGGTGACCACATCAGTCTCAGATCGAGCCAAAGTAACATCATCTCCATCTCGAGCGACAGCAAATTTCCGGATGTCCTGCCAGACGTGGTCAGGAATGACAGACGCGCAATGAGGTACCACGTGACTGAGAATTGCACTCATGAGTCTTCAATATGATTCAATAATATTAAATATGGGTATAGGTCAAAATTGGGTACCCCAATATTTACATGACTAATACTTACTAAAATCTGTGCTCCCATAGGGCTTAATTTTTGACTCATCCCAAATTTCTTCAATGTTGATGTTTAACATTGCATTTGGAAGAGGCCTTTCACAGTGCCATCAACAAATTGACAAATTCTGAGTTGTTTCGTTTGCTCTTCACAAAATTGCATGGATGATGTACTGTGCACATCCCTACAAAACCTGAAATGTACTCACCGAAAGATCCGAAAACCCTTTGCGAAGTGAGTCTTAAAATTTTGACACCCATCACCCTTTACACAACATAAACCTAGAAATGGTGCTGAAAGTCAGTGAATATCACTAGTTTTATTGGAAAAAACACCTCTGAAAAACAATCAACTGGCGCCAGCAGGGGCCTGAGATGATGGTGAATTGGGAGTGGAATTTTGCCACTCAAGAGACCAACATGATATTTTTTTTCAATGTGTTCACATGAAAAAACAACTGTAGTCACATTTCTATCATTGTCAATCCCCATTCATAGCAAAAACAGGATCGAGTATTTAAAATTGGTATATCACCCAATTTGTAGGCCATGGTCAAGTTACATAGGATTAATGGAGTGTGGTTATCCATACCAATGTGAATCATTGAAAAGGGGTGTATAATACCATGACCCCAATAACTAAACTTTTGACCATGGCACATACCCTCTGGTAATTTAACATAGCTACTGTACTGAAAATGATGATTTATAGTGGATTTTCCCAGCTATAAAATGGTGGATCTTTCCATAGTTATGTAAACGTTTACCAAAGGGTATGAAAAGTGTTCAAATCCTCGGTCATTCCTTTCCAGTGGTTGGTTTTTAACCACGGGATTCTGCAGATTCCCAGTTCATGGATGTAAAAAATCACGATATAACTCGGGTAGTAAAAAAGGTAACCTGTGTTTATCACAAACCAACCATCATTTATCAATCATATCCCCATATATTGATGATTAAAAACTCTACACATATAAATAAAAATATATATATATATTTAAACATAAGTATGACTAAATTCACAGTGATATGATTACTATACATTGAGTACCACATAATTTGATGGTCATTCTATGCATTTTCTTCACTACATGCATGCTGAAGCTATAGAACCAATCTTCCCAAGTATGGTTGAAACATGTTGAAATAGTTGAAACCACCAACCAGTATTTCATTCATATGTGAAGGTGTCCTAAAATGGAGGTACCCCAAATCATCCAAGTGATTAGATCATTTTAGTATTGAAACCCATGATTTTAGGGATCCCCAGGCCCCAACAGGCTGTGTAACCAGCAGCTGCTCATCCGGTACCCCACCTTGGACATGCGCAGGGCCTGTGCTTCAGAGACCTAGCCGAGGCGCGATTTTTGTAGAGATGGAAATGGCCCAATTGAGGTAGGTCAGTTGAATCCTACAAACTATTGATAGTAGGATCACTAAATATAACCCATGACGGATCCATGGTGCTGGTATATATGCTAACATTTGGGGTATATTGATGGTAAATGTTACCATATATACCATACATGGATCCTATTGATCATAGGAGTAAAGTAAATCATCATTTGTAGGAGTTTTGTATTAAATAGTCAATGGTCCGTGGTGGTAAAGACCACTTTTTTGGTGTTACTAATATGATCAAACCATACACAAAAACACAGAATAGTATACCTAGATCCACTTGGAGGACGACAAAAAATACAGGAGAAACCAGAAAACCGACTCCATTTTTCATCTGAAATCATCTGAACATACCATCCACTGGGGGTTTCTTAACATGTATCCCCAAGCCGCCGTTGTTTTTTCCAATACGTCATGGTCTCCTCTGAGACCTCCATCGAATCCCCGGATCCAGCCGGAAATGGCGGCGCCTTCAGGTTGGTCATCAGCACTTGCACCGCTGGCTCCAAGGCTTTGGGAGTCCCGGACGTCCGACCGGACGTCCGACCGGACACTGGCGCGAGGCGCTTGGCCGGCGAGGCTGCAGAGGTCAAGTCAAGGTGGCATGTTGATATATATATATATAATATGTATAATATATATGTATATATATAGTCATCCTGGAGTAGTACGATATGGAAATTTCTTGAAATCCTCACAAAAATGGGAATATGTTTGGACAATTTGGACATACCATCTTCTATCTACTCCAGGATGATTAGAATGGGATATTCGTATAATTAACCAACAATAGTCACCAAAGACTTCATGAGTAGCATGAGGACATCATGAGGATAATGTGGGAATTCATCAATTTGTACCTATATATCCTACTTGATTGATCTAGTATTTGGGTGATTGAGGAATAAACCGAGGAAAACCAGCATTGTATGAATGGGAATACAACCAACAATGATGGGCTTATTTCATGGACATAATGGGAATTTAATCGGATATCAGTTGGATAAGCCACAATATGGCTTTGACTGAAGAAAGGGTACCCCAATCCCACATATTGATGAATAGGTTCATAATGTCGATGTATAATTCTATACTATGTTGATGATTATTGTCTGGTTGAATTTCAGTATCACTTGTCACTTTCAGCTTTCTAAAATGCACCATTTTCGGATACCACCAGGTGTCCAAAACCAGCACTGGGGCGGAGGCATGGCCCTAAATCTTGCAGATACCATCTGCTTATTTAACATAGCCATGGAAAATCACCATTTTTTATAGGTAAACCCAGGTAAACCATCTATAAATGGGCCATTGTCCATGGCTATGTTAAATAACCAGAGGATAGGTGAAACCAAAAATGATGGATGATACTATCGAAGACTGATGATTGTACTTTTGAAGAAGCAGACAGTTATGTTCTTGGTCTTGAGCAATTGATGATACTTGGCTAGACGATTAGCTAAATAAATTGAGCATATTCAGCTAATCGATATGGTCAGCATGGTCATTCCCTGTGATTGGGGGATCAACAGCTAGTTGGTTCACGAATCGCAATGGTGTTCCCTTGCTAGTGGAAACATTCTCTACAATGACACATGATATGTAATTCTGTATGCATGTATATCTCTATATTGTATAGAAATGCCAAACAATGTGATGCTACTGAATATTGCAGCAACAACTATGGTCAACTATTACTCAGCTCAATACATTATACATCATATATATGTCAATACAATCAAACTATTACATACTGGTGGTTGCTTGATACCACTGAAGTAACATGACAGTACTGCACTACAATGATAATCATCAACCACCACCCAGCAGGAGTGCCAGCTCAGTTTACCTTCAGGGTTTAGGAATCAACTGATTGAGCCAACCAATGTACGGTGTATGGGTCTGTTTCAAATGTCAAAATCCAGCGGATGTTGAAGCGTTTGTCAATTGTGTGTATTTATTAACATTACAATGATATATGTATATAATATACACAAATACTAATAATTTTGTCGGATACTCATATCATATTATACATATATATTATATATATAGATGCAAACCTAGAAAATCCAGTGCTGGTTTTCCCAACCCGCAAAACCACATGTGGCTATAAGGTTCAGTAGCTATGACTAGAATTTCCCTTCTGCCGCTAGCAACGCAGATGACCTCAATAGGACAGATTCCATCAGATGCCCATTTTAGATCATTTTAGATGGTTATAGTCATATAGTATGTTATCAATGGTGATTCAATGGTGATTCAATGGTGATTCAATGGTGAGTGATTCAATGGTGAGTGATTCAATGGTGAGTGATTCAATGGTGAGTGATTCAATGGTGAGTGATTCAATGGTGAGTGATTCAATGGTGAGTGATTCAATGGTGAGTGATTCAATGGTGAGTGATTCAATGGTGAGTGATTCGATGGTGAGTGATTCGATGGTGAGTGATTCAATGGTGAGTGATTCAATGGTGAGTGATTCAATGGTGAGTGATTCAATGGTGAGTGATTCAATGGTGAGTGATTCAATGGTGAGTGATTCAATGGTGAGTGATTCAATGGTGAGTGATTCAATGGTGAGTGATTCAATGGTGAGTGATTCAATGGTGATTGATTCAATGGTGATTGATTCAATGGTGATTGATTCAATGGTGATTGATTCAATGGTGATTGATTCAATGGTTGATTCAATGGTGATTCAATGGTGATTCAATGGTGATTCAATGGTGATTCAATGGTGATTCAATGGTGATTCAAAGGTGATTCAATGGTGATTCAATGGTGATTCAATGGGATTTAATGGTGATTCAATGGTGATTCAATGGTGATTCAATGGTGATTCAATGGGATTTAATGGGGCATAGACCAGCTAATTGTGATAGAGAATATATACTGGTTGGTGGTTGACCTACCCCTCTGAAAAATATGAAAGTCAATGGGAAGATTATTCCCAATATATTATGGAAACATAACACATATTTGAAACCACCAACCAGTTATAGTCATAGTCAAATTCTCTTTGGTGAGATACAGTACCAATTTAAACAAACAAAAACTCACTGAATACGCATGATATCCTTCGAACACCAGTGAACATGCACGAACATCCACATGTGGATGCGCCTATCATCATGAACACGGAGTAATGGTGAAAATCCCATTTCCAATGATGGGGATCCAATTTTTTCCATGTTTTTAATGATGAAAATCCAATTTTAATGCTGAACATCTAAATATGATGAAACTCCAGTTGCTCAACCCTTCCCCTCCTCCCCCCACCTGCCGCCGCTGCCGCTGCCGCTCCCAGTACCACCCGTTGCCGCCGTCGCGGCCCAAAAAGCGGTCGCTCCGGTCGCTCCGCGACCGGACGCCATGGTCGCTCCAGCAGCGCAGGGCGCGATGTCCACGGTGCTGCCAACATGGCAGGATGGGGGGCCACCTACGTGGCGAACTGGGATGGTACTGATGATATGATGTTCACAATCTATAATTACCCTCTGGTAAACGTTTACATGACTATGGAAAGATCCACCATTTTTAATGGGAAAACTCACTATTTCTATGGCCATTTTTAATAGCTATGTTAAATTACCAGAGGGTAGGGGCTTTATGGGGTGATTATAAAATTATACTCGAGTCACTGAGTGAGTTACTGAAAAATACGACTGCTTCGTATCCTACATCGGAGAGCATTCAGAAATTCAATGCTTTAATGGTTGTGGGATCGAACATGATGAAACAGCTGTAACGAAATCGTTCATCCATATTGGAGTGGCAGTGATTTTGAGAATGGATTTCCCATCATTGCATATAGTAAGACTCTCATGAGCCACAGTTCTGATCTACAGTACCCTCTGTCAATTTGACAAAGCTATATAGAAAATAGCTCATCTATAGTTGCTGTACCGATTATGGTGATTTTCCATAGCGATGTTAGTTTACAAACGGGAAGCTGGCTGCTAGAGAATTCACAAAAGCTCTCCAGGATCCCTAAGGCTCATTTGGCCTACGTGCCGAGCATCGGCTATGACAGCTGCGGACATGAGGCAAGCAGGAAGGGACTCAATGAATGACATGGGATTTGGAAAGAATTTCAATAGGGATATAGTGATTACCTACTATACCGCAGATTCTGGAGATCGTGAAAAGATGTAAATCCTCAAAATTCCGGAGAGAACGCTTAAATTTAGCTCTAATTCATCGGTTATTTATCTACGTAACGCCCCACCACAAGAAAACTCAAGTCTTGAGAGTCTTGTAGGCAACCATGTACCAGCACCGTGGATTGTTTGAGTTGTACAGATTCTCCGGTCAGAGATTGCCGTTAAAATCCCCAATCTATAAGATATTTTCCCGTTAAATCCTCCATTTTCCATGGGATTTCCCATTGCCTCATCACCCCGTCCCATACTAATGAACGACTCACCATGGATGCCCCAGGGTAAGAGAGAATTCCGTTTCGACATCCAATTAGAATAGATGCCAATATGGATCAATACGTCATGGTTCATGTGGTTCATCATGGTTCATGTCATGTGTTGGCTTACCTGGGTTTCTCACATTGATTGTCAATATGTCAACATCCTTAGTTGTGAAATTGGTCACTTTTTGAAGGTGAATGGAAAACCACAGCACCAAATTTATGGTTTCCCGAAATTTGCCATGTATCAGATTCTGTAGATTTAGTTATCAAAAGTCGCTCTATTGAGAAATATATTCTGGTCACTTCTTGTCACTTCAAGTTTACAAATTACATAGCTAGACGCTCCGAGTACCCAGAAAAATGCTGCTGTCCCAACTTCACCCCATAATATCCGATAATATGTAGGTACTCTTATCATTCTTGGAGCTATTTGGAGAGTCTGTCGCATGGTGTCCTCGATAATTTCAGCATCGAGATCAAGGATGAGAACAGAGTGGTCCTGCTCGTAACGCACCTGGAACGCTCGTGAAAAAGGGGGGATTTGCCAGCCAAACCTAGGGGAATTGGATGGGTTTATGACATTTTATGCCTGAATCCACCGGAGTTTCCCCTGTTTCTCAAAGCTCCATAAGTACACTTAAGTTGGGATGTTAGGGGACCTTGCAACTATGGTTAATATCATTGGCCCACTTAGTTAGACTGCACCCACAGGTACAATACTTTGATCTCTCTATTTCCTGTGTATTTTTTAGCATATTTAGACGTTAGGTATTTTTGTAAAGATGTGATTTTCCCACACATGGTTCCAGAAATGGGAGTCTTCTTATCAACAAACACTGGAATGTAGAATCGCAACATGTTCACTTTAGTTTGAGCCACAAACATGTGGTATTCCAGCCAAAATGAAGGCTTCAGCAAAGCAAAGCAGACAGGGTCTAAAAATGGTGTCTATCCCTATAAAATATATTCAGTTTCATGGGAAATCTGATGATTAACGATTACTGATTATATTATTATATTATATACAGTAACCATCAAATTTTGATAATTTTTGTTTTTTTTCCCCCTAAGTTTTCAGAAAACTCGCGCGTGAGTGTGGTTAAACGGTTAAATGCTGAGCAATGAGCCTTCTGAAAGTTATACCTTGTTTTCCCATCCCATTGTACTGGTCGGTACAAGCGAATCTATAAGTTATAATCATCCACAAGCCAGCCTTAAATAGTACTACTTGTTTTCAGTTGATGCTTGAGGTATCCCTTCTAATGGTTATAAGTTTTAACTACAATCGCCAATAAAATATTAAGAACCTGTATACCCCCTCTAATAATCAACCAACATGCTGATGGCCCACATCAATTCACCTGCTGGATTGGTCCGTCGGGATTTTCATCAAATTGCAGTCAACGTTTCATCAAATAATCACAGAATTGGAAATTGAATTTGGAAATTACAAGAATGGACTCCCACAAATGGAACTCGTGGATGCTACCAAAGCATTGGTAGTGATGTTTAGCTTTATCCATCATCAAAAATGTGAAAGCACCTTAATCTTTCTTGAATAGAAAGGAGTAAACAACTTCTGCAATGTGGAATGCCTATTGTCACCCAAACATACCCTGTCTCAGCTTTTGTCTGCGAGCTTGACTCAGCCAATCACGCAGTCGGGTCGAGGAGTCTCGCACTCGACTAAATCGAGTACAGGACAGTTCAACAAGTTGATCCATATCCGGCCTAGGTAATTTCCATGGTCTCAAACATGGACATATATGGCCATTTTCAATGGGATGCTATTTTGGGATAATTCCCCCAAAACATACTAATCCATCCTATTTCTAGGGTGACCCTTGGTTTCAGAGCCATGGCATTCGAATCCCTCAGTCAGAGGCTGTGAGTCGTTCGATGCCCCAATAGGTGTAGAGAATCATCATGATTGTAGCCTCAGTTGAAAGGATGCGGATTTACCGGTAAACATGGGTAAACATAGAAAAAAGATGTGGAGAACCAATGGTTTCGAAAAAGGAACATGATCTACATATATATCTACATGATCTACATTCATGGTGGGTTTTCCACATCTAAATCATCTACCTGTTCATTTACCCGAGGCTAACCCCCCCCATTTCCGTGACCCCCAACAATGCTTGGTTGAGCCCCATCAACTTGGGGATGCTTGGCGATGCAGCCGGGGATCCCCGGTGAAATCCCCATCAAACCATATGGCCAGGGGCTTGGGTCAAAAAAGGTACCTTGCTGAACCTTAAAATAGCTGGTAAATGGATGCTTTTTTCGTAGCTCACATGACAAGTTGAAGGATTTAAATGGACAAACAATAAGGTATTCATCAGATAAACCCAGTTGATTCCACTTGAGAAAATCACAGGTTCTGACTCGGACTTCGTTCCGGGTGACTAGGACGATGAAGATCCAGAGAATGGCCTGCTGCAGCTTGGAATTGGAAGCGCGCAAGTACCTGCAAGGCATGGTGGGATTGTTCAGTGAAATGAGTTTGTCGCAAAATGGATGCCCCGAAATGGTAAATTTGTAGAAGGAAACTGATCTCAATTCATTGGTTTAAGTTTAAGGGGACATCTATAGGAAACCAGGGTTTTTAGCAAACATGGAAGTTTCCTGTACACTTTCCCTTAAACCAATCCATTGGGAACAGGGAAAGTTATGATCTATCAGCGGATTTGGAGGCATGCTAATTTTTTAGATAAAACCAAATTCTATTAATTAGTGGACACGGAATGATGGGGAATGATACATAGACTAAATCACGAATGAGGAGACTGGTAGTTTTCACTGGAGCATTTTTTGGGGGTGTGGAAAAAAACAGAAAACACGTATATGTTAAAAACCTCAAAGAATTCGGATGGTCAACATCTGAAACCCAGGGTAGTATATACGGTCTACTTCAGAAGTGAGAATAACATGTTCGAGGCGATTATAACATTAGGTTCACATTCCCACCACAGCGTCTGTCTCTGACATTCTCTGACCCTTAAAGGCCCTGTAAAAAAAGGCTGCTGCCAGAAGACGATTCCACGAAGACCCAGTTGCCCACAAAGAAAAACCAAGCGATGAATTGGTTGTAGTACCTCAGGCCAACGTGAGGACCCTGTGAACTCAGTGGCTTCCCTTCATGTCAATTGGTAGTAAGAACCAACATTACACCACATTACCATCATCACACTCATGAAGGAACCATCATGATGTAGATAAATGTAGATAATCCTTCATATATTGGTTGATTCCTCAGCAATTATCTTGCAAATCAATCCTGTTTAGGAGACCAGAGTGTGTCTTCACTACCTGGAACTGCGAATACTTTTTGCTCTGCGAGTTCATTGAATTGATGAAAATTTTGGACCCCCGTCTTCAGAGTTTCTGGGCTTGAGCATATTCACCAACAGTTCCCAAAATGACCCAAGATTTTCCCCCGAGCCAACAGCTAACAAATGATACACATGGAGCATATGGAAGTGGTTTTCCCGACGTTCCGTTCGGATGAGCCATGACATTTCCACATTTTTTCACAAGCGGTGGCTGAGCCATCGGTCCCAAGTAAGGATGTTGACCGGGTCATCATCCCGGGTTTTTCGTAAGATACAAACTGAAGAATCATGACAAACACCCCTATACCATCCTATAATCCTATACCGCCTATACCCTCAAACCCCTGCAAAAGACTTGCACTTCAGTGGAATCCCACAAAATTTGGAGCGGCCACAAGGGTATGTCATATTTTTGGGGAGAAGGGATTGCTTCAAACATCAAAACCATCCATAGCCATGGCATTCCCATGGCCCATGGCCATCATCCCAGCCCGGCGGCTGATCACGGAAGAAGGGGACCGAGCCGTCCGCCAAGGGCTCGCAGTTCTGCTCCGTGGAAACGGTGAAGCCGAATTTGATCTCAGCGCTGAGGGACACGGGAATCCCAAATGTTTAAAGATCTTAATGATCATTTACAGTTAAGTTGGCGTTGATTGTGTTCTGAGAAAACGATTTTAGTTGGATATGGTTGCTTAAACATAGTTTTAACATGCTGTATAAGGCATAAGGATTCTAAAACATTGTCTGGGAATATTTCGGTTGTGACCATCTGCAATGATTGACAATATATATATATATATGTATATATAATGTTTACATTTATATGTTATATATATATATACGTATAATCTTATGACTTATCGGTTTTAGATGTATCAAAGATCTAATAGTGATCAAACATGGTGAACATGAAGAGATCAATAGTGATTTAGAATGGGAATTGCGAGCTATATTGCAATCAAAATAATATGTGGAGCGAAGAAACGAATGTATAGATGAGTGAAAGATCAACAAGGCGACTAGGATGGATTAAGATGGATTAAGAATGATTAAGATGGATTAAGCATGATTAAGCATCAGGCTTGACACATGCATCATTTGATCATACGGCTTGATGGTCAAGTGCTATGGATTTGATGGCAGATTCCTCAGATGGTCTCCGGAAAAATCCACGATTTTCATGGGGAAATGAGCATCCCCCAATATGGGTCAGAGAATCCAACTTATTTAAGCATGGCATATATTGATCAACGGGGGACTACAATGACTACAAATAAAACACGCGTGGCTCAATCATCAAAGAATGGCCGTAGAATCAGATGCTCGAATTATTTATTCCTCAACTGACTTGGTGACTTAGTGCTTTGGTTTGCCCACCTTTCTCTCAAAGGACAGTAAATTGAAAGGGCAAGGACCTGGACTGTGCCAACAACAATGATGGGTTGAGGATTTAGGTGACCTGCCAGTCTACCAGCGGGGGGCATTCACTTCCAATCAACAAGTTCTATGTTAGGGCGGTGGGTCAATTCTGGATCCAAATATTTTAGATGGTTGATTGGTTCTATGGTTGATTGATAAGGGATCTCATCATGAGTAACCCCTGCTACCCGCAGTTGACCGGGTTTTGGTCATTTATGGACTTCACCAATCCAAGATCTGCAAGGGGATTTCACCAACAAGAGCAAGACCATGTATCCTGTCAGCCAACAACACAGCAAAATAACGCAGAATAATTGGACTGGTTCTGAAGCCACTCGAGGATTTGACTGATTTGATCCACACTGGAATAACCATGACACGCTTGGGAGTACACTAGAAAAAATAATTCATCTCAAGCTGCTTTTCAATGTTTTTATGGTGCCCCAGTGCAGGTTTTCCTTTTTTGTATCATGATGTTCGTCCACTGGGGTCATCCATCTCACTCACTTGGTGTTTTTGTATACCAAATCCAGAGAATTCCAGAGAGTTAGTCGGTGAAGCGCGGTCAATACAGGTGATCGATACACCCCATGTTTTGGGGGGACACGCAGCTATAAGGAACCAAATCAAACATGTACATGTCCATGTTCCATTGCCAATGTTTCACAAATTTAGTAATTTTACTTATGTTTACGGATCACCATGGGTTTCACCATGGGTTTCACCATGGGTTTCACCGTTTCACCCGTGTAGAAAGCCACCGCGAAACCTACGCGCCAGGCGTCTCCGGCGTAGAGGAAGACGCGGTACTCGAAGGAGGCGATGCCCATGGCGAAGGCTCGGAGGCCCCAGCGGCGATGCGACTCCAAGTCCTTCGGTGCGAGTCACGTAGGGAATGGGGGGAATGGGATAATCATTAGAGCTAATAGATGTTAATAGGTGTTAATAGGCGTTAATCTATGTTAATAGATTAACAATGATTAACATCTATTAAAATCTATTAAAATCTATTAACATCTATTAACATCTATTAACATCTATTAACATCAAAATGGCAATAATGGTTAATATAGATGTTAATAGATGTTAATAGTTATAGATCATTCCCCCATTCCCTAAGCACCAGTATGTACGGAGACTCGTTTCGGTGCCCCTTTGGGAAAACAAATGCCGGGAAAACGTCAGGGAAATGTTTGACGAAGGATGAAGAAGGTAAGGAAAACATGGGAAAAACTAGAAAAGCACGGGACATGCTGGGAAAACACGGGAAAACATAGGACAATGATGGGAAGGGGGAAATGCTGGGAAAAGGGTGATTAGACCAACAAATTTGAGCATTTATGGAAATTGGCTGACATTTCTTGGAAAAAGAAACTATGTTGTAATAGCAATTGCTCGTGCTTATATAATGAGTGACGCTATGGCATAACCGCTATGGGATGTATTGGGATATAGCCCAATAGTCGGAATTGAGGGAACATATATCATATGAAGAGCTAGTTGAAAATGGATGAAAACTGTTGGTGATAGATAGACTCTTGATAGTCATAGTGATAGTGACGGTGATAGTGATAGTGATGGTGATAGTGATGGTGATAGGAAAATAGCGGGGAAATGAATGTTATTTTTTTTGGTTATACTGACCAGGGATTGTCATGGCATGGCATGGCATGGATGCTAGATTTTTTTTGGTGCCACAGTTTGGCATCGCTAAGTTGGCAAATATAGTAAGCAAAGTCATGCAAATTCTGGAGTTTAGGATAGATCATATATCCATATCCCATAGGATCCATGTATGGCATATATGGTAACATGGATCCCATCAATATACCCACTTTATGTTAGCATATAGATCCGTCATGGGTATCTAGACTTCATGGGGGTCATAAATAAACCAACTTCGGTGGCAAAACGTTGGAAAGACGACGCCCTTGTGTCGTGGCCATCTCGTCCCCCGGACATCCACCAGTTCCATCGCCTTTTGGATCGCCTTCCAATAGGCCAGTACTGCACCTGACCAACACCAGACGCTGTCTACAGCAGTGGTGCTTTAAACAAGTTGCCACTAATCTGGGTAAATTATATATAATATTTCACCAACCTGAATTAAGGCCATTTGGGGATGATTCCCCTTACTAATCTTAATTATGGCAACAATCAGCCAACAATCAGCTATTGAGCTCGTTCATTCCAGATTTGACCGGACTCAAGCTCCATTCGTAGATGTTTTGGTAGACTGTTCCGAATCATGTTTTCCATTCGTCGTTTTCCGAAATGATCTTCCCATGGCTTTTGCATATGGTTTTCCTGTCGTGATTTTCCCAGTTTCGTCGAGGGAGTTTTCCCCCCCATGGCCATGGCAAGGCACACAGCACGACCGACAAACCATAGATGCAGAAGGAGACCCTCAGAGCCGGGCGCTAGCCGGATCGTCCCGTTTTCCCCAAGAGGATCGATGTTTGAACATGGTTAACGATGGTTAATCTATGGTTAATCTATGGTTAATATATGGTTAATGATGGTTAATGATTGTTAATGAGTTGATGATGGCTTAACCATCATATCAGTTATGGATGCATGGTTATCTTTATGAAACTAGATAGCTTAAACAACAAGACTGGCTAATAATGATGATTCATGGTTATACTGAATAATTTTTGGTGATGAGTAATGGTTAATGATGATTAAGGGAATACCCTCCGGTGTCATCAAACGTGGTTGGCTGGGAAATCCCCGAATGAAATGGAGATCTTAACTGGAAAATCATCAAACTGAATGGGGGATTTTCCATTGCCACGTTTGACTACCGGAGGGTAATGGATAGCTTGAAGAACAATAATAAAACTGGATAGCAATAATCTCGATAGTGGTCGTAACAACAACCATCATCGGCACTAGTAATATGTAAGAATGATAGCTAGCCGTGCTGTTCGAGTTATAAACCTGTGATACATCACCAATATACACTTACCTTACGACAACCCCAGGTGGAAGATCCCCTGCCTGGCTGTTGGTTGAAAGCGGTTTCCGTGGTTAATTCATGTTAATTCATAATTCCCAATACGCCAGGTAGATTTCAACTCTTGATCTCATAACCCATCATACTATATCCTCCATAACATAGTATTATCTTCCACAACTCTTCATAACCCATGGATATCTTTAGTGGCTCACTTGTTTTCGTTGTGGAAGCTCCCATTTTTTAAAGGCTCATCCATCACGTCGTCTTTCCCAAACCGCAACCCAGACTCGTCATGGGATATCCTCCTGCCTGACCAAGGCGTGATCTCTTTGACCGGTATGGACTTATACCCTCTGGTAAACATACAAAAAACTATGGAAAATCACCATCTTTAATGGGAAAAAACACCATCAATTGCCATTTTCAATAGCTATTTTGACATAACCAGAGGGTAGTCTCGTTCCAAAATCATGGCTTCTTTCTGTAATCAAATTTGGAGGTTTCCTAAAATGGGGCTGTCCCATATCATCCAAAAAATTACCATGACTATTGAAATCCCATGGTGATTTTCCTGGGGATCTCCCCAAAAAACCAATAAACCCCGGTTGAACCCGTGACACGGGATCAATTCCCCATCCAGGCACCATCAGGCACCAGTGACGGAAAAGGATTCGCGAGGTCAAAACAATAAAATTCTATCCAGATGACATCCTCATTATCCTGATGCTTGTCCCAACAATATCCCTAGAAAACATCCAAAAAAAATCATATCCTCATGAATCCGAAAAATGATCATTAGGATGGTTCTTCAGATTCCATATCCCATTGAATCATCCCAATGATCATCACCAACAATGGTATAGCACCATCCCTTCATACCACCAATCGTTGTTGGGATGATTCATAATAAATAGCAAATGATACCTTCTGGTAAACTAACATAGCTATTGAACATGGCCATAGAAATAGTGGAATTATCCATGAAAAATGGTGGATCTTACCATAGTTACGTTAGTTTACCAAATGATATCCCCATCATACCACCCATTGTTGTTGCTTCAATCACCATTTCCATGTCGTTTTCAGCCATGAATCCCATCATCCCTACGATCATCCCCTGAACCCCTGCGGTGTCTAAGCGAACTGCATCGCGTGTCACTTCATGGGTGCTGTAAACTAATAAACATACGGGGGGGGGGCACATTCTTCAACTTGTGGAGTAATGATGTTTACATATACTGTATGTATATATATACACATGGGATGATTCCCCGTGTTCATTCTTAAAGTCTTAGTAGCTGATTGTATAGTTTTGGAAGGTACTTAGCATGACTTGACCCTGATGGAATACTGGCAGCCGCAAAACATTCAGTACCCCGAAATTTATCCCAAATGGCAAACATAGAAAAAACAGGAGGAATTGCACTTCACTGTTGCAAAACTCAAAGTCGAATCATTGCACCAACACCATGATCCGAGCCGCTAACATGGTCTGCTGCGCGATAAAAGTAAATCCTCCCAGTGCCGTGAGAACGGCGCAAAGCACAAAGATTCCTCATCTGCCGCTGCTTGAGTGTACATATGTGTACATTCATGGCTCAAAAAATCAAATGCCAATGGCCCAAATGGATCCAAATGGCAAATGGCCCAAATGGCCCAACGATTTGTCAGGTTCGGATCTTTGGGTATATTATCAGCCTCCAAAACACAGAAAACTAAGATCCTACTCAATGTTGTTTTGGATTGGTATATCCAACCATTCATTTTTTCTGGGTCAATTTTTTTGAGTCATACCCACATTGTGGCCATGGAATATTACCCTCTGACATAAAAACAAACGTGGCTGGCTGGAAAATCCCCGAACTAAATGGAAGTGTCACTGGTCACTGGAAAAACATATCTATGAGTGGATCGTCCATTGCCACATCGGATGGTTCATCATGATCTTCTATATAATAACTGCATAATACTGTGGATGGTTGCGAAATCCTGCCCCAGTTGAAAACGGTGGTTTATCCCATTATTTATAGGGTTTCAACTAGTTTCAACCATCCTTTTGGTGCAGGTTTTCGCAACCATCCACAGTTGGGTTATCCTGCCCACTTTGAATCCTCAGGCTGAGGCCTGACCAATGCTTTTGTCAAGTTACCTTCCGGGGAAATAAATTGAACCAACCAAAATTTGGTGGTTCTATTTCACCAACAATGCTTGGGAATTTATATCATCAATGGAAACATACGTAGAATACATACATATCATGTATATATAATATTACACATTTATATATATATATATATATATATCATATATATATATATATATAACGGGAATACACCGGGATAGATCATGGCAATATGGGGTATGGTTATTGCGCTAGTTGGTGGTCTGACCGTCTGACCATCCCACCGGAAACATGATTATAAAGCACAAATCAATATTCAAACCAACACAACCAACACACACACACACACATCATAATATATATATATATATATGTATATAATATATGTAATATCTACATATATATATATATATATATATAAGTGTCTCCAAAAGTCGCTTTGCAAGTCCCGGAATGAAGTCAAACCAAAAAAAACGGGTGATATCTTCAGGTCAGCCACAGCCAGCACCATCCCCCGAAACCCCTTGCTGTGCGGGTCTCGACCTACAAGTCGGTGGCTCCATCTGAGTTCCTGAGCCATCTGAAAAACACCATGAAAATCCCATGGGTTTTTGGATGAAAAGCCATGGATTTCCCCATTTGCTCATTTGCTCCTATAAAATTCCAGGGGAATCATGAAATAATTACCATATTTTTGGGGAAAATGAACATCTATAAATCCTACAGTATTTTGTGAAGAACAAAACCCATGAGTGAAGACCAGGCTGCCTGGATCCAGGTAAATGGTTGGCTATGTGTTGAATCGAATGAACCGTTCATCTTCTGGGCATACTTGAATATCTGAACTCTTACCAAATATGCATATAATATATACACTGTATATTACATTGTGTATCTACAATATATTGAGAAACAACAATGACCCAAGAAGTCCTAAGACCTCAAAAAGTGCATCCTTGCGAAAAGTAGTCCTAGACTTGCTGGGTGATATATATATATATAATGATATATATATATATATAATGATATATATATAATATTATATAATGAGGATATCGCCAACATTCCCCAACAATCACCAGGACATCGGTCAACAACTTACCATTTCTTTTACCGCTGCGCTCAGCGGGAAAGCAACTCCAGGTTGTAGCAACAAACAACAAATGGGATCAACTAACTAACACATATCACGTGACTAACAAATGTGAACCAAACCCCCAAACCCCCAAACCCAAAAGACTTAACCGTGAAACAGTTGTGATTCCAATTTCCTCCAGCTGTTCGGTCTGATCATCGGGCATCTCACCTGCTCATCCTTGATGATTGTTTGTTTATAACCCCAGCAACCTATGGACCTATGGACATACCATAAACATCCATGGATCCATCACCATAGTTCAGTCAGGTTTCCCAAACTGACCTATCATCAATCACACATGTAAATATATGGAGTTGCGTCAAAATTCGGGTATGGATCGGCCCGCGGTGATCCAGACGTATGGATCGGTCTGGATCACTTGGGTTTTGGTATGGATCGGGGGTATGGATCGGCCTGTGGGTTCAGGGTATGGATCGGGGCTTTACATTTTGACTCGTAGCCATATAATATATCCAATTCCATTTTTTTCTGAAATATCGAAGTTTCCGTTTCACCCCATCTTTCATGGCTAACCTTCACCGTTCCCACACGTCCGAGGAACAGGTCTCTTGGAATAAGGCAAGACTTGCCAGACACCACTCAGAGTGAGCACAGAGCCGCAGATAAAGTGCAAGCCCATGCAGCCTGGGCTCGGCATGAGCCCATTTCGAATCTGAGATGCTCTGCACTAAGAGATGTTGTAGCTAGTTTCTATATAAAAATTACATAAGTTATAGACGGCCAAGCAAGTCCTCTATAAAATGAGTCCCGGAACAGCATTTTATAGACGTAAAGCATGTGCATTTTATAGAGGATCAACTTAGGGGTATCATAAGTTATATTCCAACTAATCTGTGAAGAGGGGATGTTCTAGCCATATCTAGAGTCAGTTATAATGCATATTCCCATGTATGAAAATATAGAGTATATCAAATTAAACCACCTGCCTTTCGCCTTTCCAGAGGATCAATTCCCTGGGTGCTTCTACAAGATGGTACTATCTTCGATGATTTTGTTCGATCCTGGGAATGACCAACATCTAACATCGGTTTCTCTAAATTGCGACCCATGCGCATCCCAACATGGACTGCGATGTGACCATGGAAATCCAGAGTCCACCCAGGGAGGACTTGTACCCCACACTGTGACACAACCACCTGTTCTAAAAAAACTCGCTAACTGGGCGCGTGATCCATAGTGATTCCATAGTGATTCCCAAACTTGGCGCATCCCAAAAGCCAGGAGATGTTCAGATTGACAAGACTTGGCACCGTGCCATGGGTGCACTATCCCCAAGTGCAAGGGGTGCTCTCATTGGATTTTCTCAGGGAGGATAAAAAAAATGGAACTAAATGAGATCGATCAATAGATCTCAATAGAAATCTTGGAAATCTTGGAGTTCTCAATAGATTTCCAAAATGGAACTAAATGGCGGATCGATCAATAGCAAAATCAAACATAGTCTCATCATCTTCAAACATATCTACATACAAACGGTGGATTGAAAGATAGGAAAAAACAAAAACCCTCTTCGGCAAATCCATCTTCTTCAAACGAACTTTACAAATGACATGTGGACTATGACTATCTCCCCTGTTGTAGAATAACAACACAACGATTGTATCATGCAATCCCTATGACAGATCCTTCCCCTGCTGTCAGTGACAAACGCGAAGTTTGCTGGTGCCCAAAAATGGCAACCTGGCGCCATGGATGACACCGATGACACCAGTCGAATGTCCATGGTGTGATGCTTCCATGGATGTTTCACCTATAAATGGCAAGGTCAATCATGACAGGGCTTGGAATACCTGGAATTATGCACATGTTCACATCTGGGAAATAAATCAAGTCAATTCTTGCTGGCTATCCTGCTGTTGATTAGAGGTTTGATATGGAAAATCCATCATTTATGAACAGATTATTTCATGGGCTTCCCCATTGGTTATTTAAATCTAGATTCAATTGCGAGAAGGTCACCTAAAGATATTGTGTTGCTTACATCATCTCGAATCAACGTATTCTCTGTCAACTACCAATGCTCCCAATGTAAGACCCCAGGGTCAACTGATTCAAACAGAGTCACTTCATAATTACTATGCAATTCTCTTGCTCTCCATGGGAGGATCCATGAGACCCCAGGGTTGGCTCGCCTGAAGCTCCATTTCTCCGTCGGGTCATCCAGGCCCTCGATGAAATACTTCTCCTGGGCTGAGACGGTGCTTCAAGCCACAACAAATGGTACCCTCTGGTAAACTAACATAGCTACGGAAAATCGCCATTTTTAATGGGAAAATCCACTATAACTGGCCATTTTCAATAGCTATGTTAAATTACCAGAGGGTAGTTCAAGCAACGAACATATTTGGATGAACATGGTGCTTTAAACTGCGGAAATGGCTGAGTCAACGAAGATTACAGTGACGTGGCAGTGAAGTTTTTTATAGTTTACTCCAGGCTGATGGCTTTTCGCTTGTGTTTGCCCGCAGAGAAGGATCCTGAGATTATGGATGCATTTTCAATGATATGATTCCATTTCTACAATGTGGTGCCCCTTCGTTCTGTTTGTTGCTTAACACAAAAGTATACAAAAGTCCCATTTCTACCAGAACCCCAACACTTCGCCTGGTTGTCAGGATCCTCCTTGTTACGGTAGGACAAACGGTAGAAATTCTGACACGATATCCCATGATGTCCAATGACATTCCTGGTTTAAGTGGGTGTTCCCTTGATTTTCCCATTGAATTATATCCGACTTGGAGACAAAAAAAACTTCTGACTGCAACTGAAGAACGATGACTTCCAAAGCTACCTGAATGTCAGCAGGGCTAACAGGCGCTAGTAGGACCTGGTTCTAGCAATATCTGTCCATACCTACAATAACCACTAAAAATCATATAACTGACATGTTCTATATACTATTTTAGTAGGTGTGCTTATTAATTCTTTTTTTTGGTCAGGATAATGTACTGACATACATGTATATGATACGTCGATATATGGCGGCTAATAGATTCTTGCCAAGTTTGAGCACCGTTTCGAAGAGGCCTCCGTGTTGGGCATGGGCGAACGTCTGCTGCAGCGGGAACCAGGCTGCAACGCACCGAATTCGTGCATAAACATAATATATGATTAATATCGATTAATTCGTAGTAGTATTTATTAACACTCTCTTCTGTACATCGTTTTAGATGATTTTAAATTATTTGACACTCTTTTACGTTCGTTTACATTCGTTTGCGATGTTTCATTTGTTTGGGACCACCTGCAGCCAAGCAAGGGTGAAATTGTGTCGAAACTGCTAGAAGTGGTCCATGCTAGAAGTGTTCCATGCATGTCCATGCAGCAAATTGCATTTAGTCGGATTGTTGCTGACATACCATGCTTTCTTTCTTTCCATTGGTTGTATCCCGGAATCCCCAATCTTTGTTTGCTGTGAGCCGGTATACTGTTTTATCTCCATTACGGCTATCGTCATTATATTATATGTGGAACATCCTAGACCACTACCCCTGATCCCAAATTGCAACCAGGAACCCACAGCGTTGCAGGCAACAAATATGCGGCAGACAGAACCAACCAGCCGTATTGGAAGTCATCTTGTTTACCTCAGGTTACGCATCAAATGGTGGTTTCCTAAGTCATTGGGGTACCCCCAGTCCTCATCCATAGATGGAATGTCCTGTTAAAACCATCCAGCGAGCTTGAGGTACCATGACTATGGAAACCTCCAAATGATACATAATTTTCAAAGCTGAAAGCATGGCCATCCAAGGTCGATTGAGAAACAAGCCGGGGCTGGGGAGTGTCTCATACCGGTTGTGGAGTCCATCGTAAGCCTCATGGACCTGGGGTGCTGAGTGTTGTTTGGTGGCCAAGGCTAATCTTAGATGGTCTCTGCAACAAAATTCAGATCACAGTCAAGAAATGACAGGTCATTTCTGCCCTCCAGCCGAAAAAATCCCCAAACTCCCATCAGCGGCCCCCCCAAGAAGCATTTGCTCAAAAACCACAATTATTTTAAGAGAAAATCAAGAAGCAAATCATCAGCCAACGACCATTTTCCATCCAGAAATTCCGGCCACATCTGGCAGTGTGTCAAAACCTTGTACCCCTGGTGAACATCAAAATAGCTGGTAAATGGATTTTCATCCCCCTAAAAATGGTATTATATAATAGGTATTGATCCATACCCATCTGGAAATCCATAAAACACCAAGCCGCTGAGAGCCCCCAGTTGCGAGTTTGTCTCCGCTGGCTTTGGAAGCAAACGGCCCACTTCGCCTTCCTGCCAAAAAAAGGACCTCTGGAACCTCTGAAATAGCTGGTAAGCTTGGCTAATCCCTTCCCCCTAAACGAAACCATGTTTTTTTGTTGGGAATTTCCACATTCCATTGGGACCATTTATGGGGTGTTTAATATGAGGGGGATGGGATTAGTCTACTAAAATCAGGAACAACATCAAAAACCAAGGACTTCTCATCATTTTTGCAAGGAATCCATGACATCAATGATGATGCTGGCCCGAAAAAAAAGGATATCACCTGCTTTCTACCACAAAAAAACATGATCACGTTGTCTAATATCATCTTCTACGACAGGATGGATCATATCGATCAACACTTTACAGGGTCTGTTAAAAAAAAAACTCCTTACCATATCCCACATATTTTTCCCATAACTATGATATAAAAACCGTATCCTATATATTTTTCCCTCCATTGCTGGCGAACTCCGCCGCTTTCTCCCGTTGATCCCATGGGTGCCGGGCACCTCGCCTGTTCCAAGTTGGAGATCTCCTGCGGCTTCGGTTTGGCCTTAAAACAGCCACAGGCCAACTCTATGGCGTTGCGGCCGCAGCGACCAAGGGCACCGCGGAGGGAATTGGATGATACTCGGAGGTCTTTATCATTTTAGATATAGTTTTGAAGATATGTTGCTTATAATATATATATATATTATTGCTTAAATCACTACTAAATATTTTATGTATATATATATCTATATACATAAATAATATCATATATAATATATACTTATAATATATGCATGTATGTTGTTTGTTCTAGATAATTCCTGAAAGAAACACCTCTTTTATCATTGCAATGTTGGAGATTCTGTCATCATCCAATTGGCCAAAGAGTGGTGCCTCCTTCACCAAGCCCTTGACTGATCTCACATCGAGACTTGATGTGTACGTACTGAACAGGCAACTGCAAACCTGGGAACATTGGATTATTTGATATTATCTGCGCACTGCTTACAATTGATTATTTGGGCCTAATAGATACGCAGGGATGATAGATGGTGTACTCAACAATTAAAGGTTAAGATTGGATACCAAACAACCTAAGAACGTGGCCACCCTGGCTGAATGTCTATTGACTTGCGCTGTTCATGCTGTTCAAATTGATGTTCGAGCCAAAAGTGGTGCCTCCGAGTTGTGTTTCTTTGTTTATGTTACCCACAATTAGTTCGATCCATCTACCAGAAAAAAAAACTCAAGAACACTTGGAGCTATGTTCACCAACTTGGCAAACTCATTCCTATTGAATGTTCATCATTATTATACAATCATTATTCTTCCAGTTGTATAAGATGGTATTATACCATCAATAATTATTCTTCCAGGTGTATAATAATGACACAATATGGTATACCATCATTATTCTAGCATAATATCGCATTTTCAGACATACCTAGGTAGTTCATATTCATATCCTTGTCCCGTCTTAGATTTAGTCATTTTTTCCTGGAACAAAACAACATTCTACTAACCATTACCTTTGGTTCTTTAACATAGCTATGGACAATGGTTAATTTATGGATGACTCACCTGTATTTACATATTCAGAATGCTGTTTTTTTTCCATAGCAAACTGTTACGTATATAAAAACCCATGAATCAATGATCAAATCACAAACAAACCAAACGGAGGGTCTGCGGCGTCAGTTGATCCAAGGCATGACTTTTTGCTTGGCTGAGGCAGTTCTAGTTTTCTAGGACCACTCTACTAATCAATGTATGTATTATAGCCAGTGTATAACCATTGATTGTTCATTATGTCTGATTCACTAACCTGATGACAGCTGAACTAAGGCCACCGGTCTTCACACTGGGCAGGCCATTTGGGATGATTCCCCTTACTGACCATCATTTCATTGACGTCGCAGGCAGTTCAATATGATTCTTTTATATTTAATATTACATTAACCATTCTATCACACACACATACATATATATATATATATCATATGTCTGTATATGTATGCTAGACATATCTATTGTGTATATATATATATACATATAAATGTATTGTATCATATATATATATATATATATATTAGATGTATGAATCCTACATATTAATATATCATATACTATCATATACCACATGCCAAATATCAAAAACCATATATCATGATGTGTATATATTATATATATATATCGTTATGAAATAACTAACCATATTATCATTTGGGGATTGTATTTTTGTCTCAATATATCTATGATAAATTAATATATATATAACTAGAGATTGTTCTCCCCAAAAGTCTCTCCCAAACCTGTCTCCCAAACCGGCCTCCGCCTTCGTCCTGCTGGGCGTCGGGGGGGCCGCCGCTTGGTTGCCGACCTCTTCAAGAAACCTGGCAGCTGCAGGTTTCATGGGATGAAACCTGGGATGAAACCTGCGATTTAATGGACTTTCACCAACAGATTTTTGTGGCAGTACCACATTGGGATTGAGGTTAAATATCTATGGTACATATGAGTTAAATTATGAGCCAAATACAGCATGAAAAAATGATGAGTATATAGTCATACCACATTTAGAAACCAGCATTCTTCTTCCAACAACCAAACATTACTAATTTTGTTGTATAATGTTGTATATAAAGCAACATGTTTGATGATGTATTGAGTTCGCAAAAGATGCGTGCAAGCCATTGGGCCTTGGTTTTCATGGGGATTCCCAGTTCATTTTTATCATGATCATCCTGATTTTTTTTAAAATCAATTTTAGGGTAGTACAATTCCAAAACCAATCATCAACAAACCGGGGTATCCGGGGGCCCTCCTGCAGCCGCTCAATGGCCATTGAAAAGGTAGGAACATCCCAACATGTTTGGGGCTGTCATGACCTGTCAACTTCAGCCTTGCGCCACTGCCCACTCTTTGGCTCCGGGCTGCTGCTCCATCTGTTGCCCTAGGCCGTCCCCAAAGATTTTTCTTAGGATTTAGCAAGATTTAGCAGGACTTCAGAAGTTCTTATCGGATATTGAAAGCGATTTACTGGGGCTTACAGCAATTCTAATAGGGTTAAATTTGGATTTAACGGATATACCAACAACCATTGATGAAGTACTTGGCATTTTGTGCCACGGCCGTTTCTTTGGGTTGAGGTCGACCTATACGTGCAATTCTACTTTTTTGTTTATCCAGAAATGGGTGACACCACCGTTTGTAGCACATTTGATGGAAAAAGTACCCTCTGGTAAACTAAAGTCTATTGAAAATGGCCATCTATAGTATATTTTCCCCACAAAAATGGTGATGTTCCATAGCTATGTTAAATTACCATGGAAAAAGTAGGTCTTAAGCCATGGGATGGATCAAATAAATTCAAATAATACCACTCTAACGGTACCGAAATGGAAAAGGACACAACGATAAAAAAAAACCGCGGAAATTATTCGCTTGCAACGATCATCAAAGGCTCCATACCTATTTCCAAGCTTGGTAGGTCTTATGCCCGGACCAGAGATCTGCTCTGACATATTCCAATACACATGTTCCTTGATGTAGTACGGACCGACACGTGAGCATTGATAGTGCCGCGTACCACAGTAATTTGAGATTACCATGTTATTGAGCACGACGTCGTCGCTACCGACTTTCTTCAACCAGTAGTGCTTACCACCGTGAAGCCTCAGCGCATATCTGACCGGCTGGTCGCCTTCCCATCCAAGATCAAAGATGCTTGAACAAAAAATGTTCAACATCGGAACTCATGTTGAAATACACAGTTTAAGGGATAAGTTTTGCAGCCTTGGATATGAACAAATACAAACCCAAAGTTTAGTAATTGATCCGTTCATCTTGAGGGCGCTAATATGCAGGGTATCTTGACGGATGGCATTCCCTCAACCACAACTCCGCGATCCCACAATGTGTTCTGCCGGTGAAACCGCCATTCATTGCCAATCTTAGATATGCTGCAAAAAACAAGACTAAATTGTTAGCTGATTTATAGACATTCCTTTATAGTAACATATTATTATATAAAGGATTGGACTATCCTTCCGAGGTTAACCCAGTGGATATATAACCATAGTTTTATAGAGGTTATATCCCAACTTGGGGGTTAATTACCATGGCTATACCTTTTAAAAACTCCAACTCCACCCCCAAGTATAATAATCAACCAACCATCCCTACTCAGACTCAAAACTATACTTATATCCCAATTTTATGGTGGTATGGCTGCCATTTTTGATACCTTTTATTGCACATGATCGTCCCATTAAAATGTCCATTTACAGTGGATTGTCCATAGTTATGGCCATTCATCAAGGCGTTTGCCGTGAAACTGCCATTCTTCTTGGTGATTCATGGCTGAAAACCCACATTTGCCGCCGGGAAAACCAAAAAAACCCATGGGAAAACCACAGATTGAGCGCCCGACGCGCCATCTCTTCCTGGCTCAGTTGGTTTGTGTCACGGTTGACTGTTGGCTTCTTGGTGGTCCACGGAGGGCATGACAAAACAATTTCAAGAGTCATGGAGGTACATAGCTGGATGGTTTATTTCATGGAACATCAATATCCTATGTGTTTTTTATTTTGGGAAACCTCCATAGCTGGATGGTTCTTTATTTTTGGATGTTCCATGTTATCTTGGGGGTCGCCCCATTTTTACGAAACCGACCCTTTGCCCATGTTGTGGTGACTGTGAGCCCCAAATTTTGTCTTGCAACCGGTTGGCAACATCCCCATCAATACCCCACCGCACCCCTCGCCTGGTCACAGAGTTTCCGCAGGTTGTGCTCAGACACCACCTTTCACCCACTGGAAGATCAGGAAAACATCACCAAAATAGGGGGACTACTGAAATGTGAGGTAATTAGGTATCTGCCCAAACTCTGGTACCTTCTGGTCGGTGGATGTTCATCCCCTCCAAATGTGTGTTTTTTGTTAATAGGTTTTGATCCATCATCAATCTTTACTCAACAAAAGAAACAACAAGAACGACAGGGACAGCTGGACAGCATTTCGCCAGCGGGCAACAGGAACTCCTAAGGCCTCTCTTTGCAATCAATGGCATGGCCACGGCTTGGTAGATCTTCAAAAAAAAAACAACCAATAAATAACGGATATTGATGCACTGAATATAGTTGTAGTGCAACCCAAAAGTAATGTACTTCCTGCTGGTTCCTGTGGGAAAACACATCTAATAACAATATATTTTTTGGTTCGGTGTTCATCATGCCATCATTAATCCTGGGTTGTGGTCTCAAAATAAGAAAAAAAAATTTTCCCTATGTACAATCAGTCTTCTCTGCTATCTGATCTGCTTCGGGGCAACCAAACAGTTGACGCGAATCTCGCGACTTCAACCCGAAGCAATGCCTGACCCCCAGCTTCAAAACATGTGCCAAACAGCCTGAATGGAATCCTTTGGACTACACAACCCATCTCCGCAATGGAAATCCTGCGGTTTTTCATCTAGCGGTCAACAAGTTGCCACCCATTGTGATCATTGTGGTTAGACAACGAAGTAGATCACGAAGTACATCCACAAGTTCTAGCCATCCCTCCCCCAAAAAAATCGTTGGACACCTGGAACAAATAAATGTAATCTAAATGTGTTTCGTTGCCTTTGTATAGCTAATGTTTATATAGGACTTCAATTTCCATGCTGATTCAATGGTATCTTTCCAGTGCTGGAACCCACGTTTATTTTGAACGTTAAACGATTTAAATCAACATAAATCGACCTATGAATTGAACATCAACCAAAATGATGCTGTTGTTGCTATTTAATGGTATTTAGAGCCACCGAGCAACCAAACAGAGTGACGTCACAATCCAATCCAATCGGATCCACTCTATGAGTGGAAGTTCCATCGACCAAAATGGTCGTTGTGGGTATACCACCGAAAAAGCACGTGGGGAAACGAGCGGCTCGCCTCTGGATCGAGGATGCATACAGCCACCACCTGGCAAGAGGTTTGAATGACATTTTCATGGGATTTCATGATGGTCAATTATGGTTAACCTGGTGAATGATGTTGATTTTTTATCGGGATTTTGCAAGATTTACCAGTAGTACCGCACAAGGCCGTGGCAAAAGTTTCAAAGATAGGAAACCATGAGGAAGTGAGTTGTTGTGATGCATGACGGCAGGGCCAATCCACTGATGGACCGAATGGTGGTTGGAGTTGTGTTTTTTGGAGTGGTTGCAATGGTTGCAGCCACCACTGTTGGATGTAGTGTGGTGTAGTGCAGCTGTAGTTGTAGTTGTAGTGCAGCTGTACTTGTAGCTGTGTGTAGTGTAATCAATGTAGTGTAGTTGCAGTTGTAGTTGCTGTGTGGTGAAGTGAGTGTACGTAGTGTAATGTGATGTAGTGTAGTGCTGTAGTGTTGTGTGCTGTTGTGTAGCCTAGAGTAGTGTAGTGTGCTGTAGTGTTGCGTGCTGTAGTGTAGCCTAGTGTGTTGTAGTTTGGTGTATAGTGGCGTAGTGTAGCGTAGTATAGTGTAGTGTAATTAGTGTAGTGTAGTGTAATGTAGTTGTAGTTTTAGCTGTAGTTGTAGTTGGAGTTGTAGTTGTAGCTGTAGTGTAGTGTAGTTAGTATAGCGTAGTGTAGTGTAATGTAAATAGTGTAGTGTAGTGTAACGTAGTGTATTTGTAGTTGTAGTTATAGTTGTGGTGGTGGTGGTAGTAGTAAGAGTAGGAGTAGGAGTAGCAGCAGCAGTAGCAGCAGTAGCAGCAGTAGCAGCAGCAGCAGCAGTAGTAACAGTAGTTGTAGCTGTAGCTGTAGTTGTAGTTGTAGTGTAATTTGTCTAGTGTGCTGTAATTAGTGTACATAGTGTAGTGTACGTAGTGTAGTGTAGTACAGTGTAATTAGTATACTGTAGCGCGGTAGATTTGTTTTTGCATTTGTAATTGTAGTGGTAGCATAGTGTGGTTGTAGTTGTAGTTGCAGTTGTAGTTGTCCATCTATCTGTCTATCTATCTAACTCTCTATCTCTCTATCTCTCTCTCTATCTCTCTATCTCTCTATCTCTCTATCTATCTTTCTATCTATCCATCTATCTATCTATCTATCGATCTGCACCCAGACACCTTTTTTGGTTGGTGGGGGAAACAAGGGGGGACTTTAGGGCATGACCATGTAGCATTATACCCTTAGGGACACGGGGGGCTTCAGCGCATGATGCATGATGATAGAAAATCACGCCTTTAGGATGTATGGGGGGCACTGCAAACACGAAGGGTTTAAGACATCATGATGCAGAATCACACCTGCAGGGTTTATGGGATATACAGTAGGCGGCTTTAGGCCATGACGACGTACAATCACACCTTTAGGATATCAGGCGGGGGAGGGGAGAAGACTTTAGGCCATGATGATCGTCATCATCAACCCCATCGTCAGAATAACCCTGTACAAGCGACAGATTCACCCGTGTAAAAGTGACAGATTCCCACCTGTACGCACAACCGTCCGCCCTTATCAGCAACCCTGAGTTACCTCCAATGAAACTTTATGTCGTAAAGAGATCTGAACACATGCGTGGAAGAGAATTAATTAGACAAGTTGGTTGCTTACGAAATCTCCCTGACACGAGCGGAGTTCCGCCTGTGCACCAAGAAAATGGTCCTGCTACGCACGGGCTTGGATTGGGCTTCAGGGGCGCTCTGTCCCAACTCCTCTCGACAGCGCTTCCTTGTGTAATGCCTTCAGCTCTCTGCCCCTGCGCTTGGCTTTGCTCGGCTTGAAAAAGCACAGCTGCATGGCCACGAATTCAGGAGTGCACAACACGCTGTGCTTTTGGCACAGCTGGTAGACTGTGCAGCAGCCAGTTTCCCGCGAGAGTCTCTTCAAGAGGCCTCCTGTGGCAGCATGTAACTCGGAAGTCCGTAGCATGTTGGGAGTGTTGCATCAGACGCAGTGTAAGATAGAACTGCCGCAAAACCACACTGGAGCCCGCAGCCGTAAGCAGGCGTTCCAACGCGGCCCGCGTTGGATCGCCCTGGCAGCCACTCCAGCACGAGGAGCGATCCGCCCATTGCAAAACACAATAACAAACCATCCCACACTGGGTTTAATGTTGGGTATACCCCTATTGGGGATAATTTAACATGACCCTCAAATTGGGGTAATGGGACGGTTTAATCTTCGGTTTACTACATTCTTGTAGTTGCTATATATTGGCGCTTAGCAACAAATTAGCTACCATATCTAGATGACGTGATTATAGTTCTATAGACAGTCTACTTCTACCAGACAGTTAATACGAATTCTGATTTCTCTATTATAGCTATAGCACTCCCCAAATAGATAGAATACTTGGAAATCCCGAAATTATGGAGGGAACATGAGGGAACTGTTGGGATGAATTGGCTATTAATCGTTGATCAATGTTTCAATTTTGGTTAGATAGTTGTTAATCAGCTTGGCTATCGTTACAATACTTAGATATAGATGATATAGGCCAATAATGTTGGTTTCCGGATTTAAAAGACTATCAGCTGCTGGGCTGGGGCGGTGCCATTTTAGTATTAAATCATATTAAATCATAACGGAGTCCAGCATGCTGGGTGAACCAAAAATCCTCCCGGGGTGGCATTCCCTGACTTTTTTGGGACCAAATGTCAAGTCTAGACATCGTTTTATGCGGATGACTGCAAAGTGTTGCCATGGGTTAGTCGAACCCATCCAACTCCAGTATGGTCACGTTTATGCCGAAGGGCTCTCAAAGAGGAGAACATCTGATAGTGAAGGCAATATGGGAAACATGTATACGCCAGGAAAAGCGTGATCCTAGAGAGAGGGGCCCGGGATGAAAAAACTGGCTTCATGACCTTCGAGAACATTGCGCCGCGAAGGACCCAATGCGTGCACAATTTGTGGAGGCATGCGTTTTCAAGCTTTTTGACTATAACCTGCCTAGTCAAACCACAGTTGACTAAGCCAACTTAGATCCATGCGGCACCATTTTGTGGGAACAAAACATGTATGATAAAGATGAGGAAACACCACGTACCCACAAGAGATTGTAGGAAATCACTGGTAATTCGCCTCCTAAACTCCAACATGCAATCCACAAAGGAACGAACAAAAACCACTTTGAAGTGCAGTTCCAGTTATGGATATGTCAGCTATATAGAGATTATATCCCAACATTCGGGGTGAAAATAAAACTAAGTACCATATAGAATACCTTTCTGAATAACCCAACAAAAAAAACCAAAGAGCTTTCCGCCTCAGAGCTTTCTGCTGACCTGGGGATTTGACGGAAATGGCGAGCTGGGGCATCTTGGTGGGACTTCACCCACCAAAATTGGGATTTATCTCGACCAGCTCCAGACGTCAAATGTAGTACAGTGACTTTGTGTTTGAACAGCTGCTAACATGCATGATCGAGTATGTATCATTTAGGCCCTCACGACGGAAGTCCAGACTTCCACGCCAGTGCAGAATCCCAACTACACAAGTGTGAGCCATCTGCAAGTACCACATCACCATAAGCGTATACAATGTTGAAATTGACTTTGGACACATGGCTTTGAAAATTCTGTCCCCCTAAATGATAATATACCGGGTATTTCAGCCTCTAGTAATCTAACAGCCTCTAGATCTCTGGTAATAATCCCCCCACATACCCTCTAGTAATCTAACAGCCATGGAAAATTTCAGCGATTCGATCGCCGTGATGTATTGGCCCCCATTTTCAGGTCAGCGACTTTCAGTGAACACCATCATCGATCCTGGTGTTTTTTTGATGGATAGTCCTTGGAATCTTGAAACCCATCCTTATCGGGAGAAAGTTGAAATCACAAAAAAAAACTCTTCAAAACATGTACATTGTGCCTATATTATGCCAAAATCGTCAAAATCTATATGGGATTTCAATCACCAAACTGGGATCACTCCAGCTGAGAGATCAACTCAGGAACTTCTCGCGGCTGCGGCTTGCCGCCCTGGCGGCAGTGGAGATCCAGGTGACCGAAGATAGCAGCGACACCCATGACTTTAAACATAGGAAATCTCCATAGGAACATTTCTTGAAGCATAAGGTTATTAATTTCATGGTTATAAATAATGATAGTTATTAATGGTCATTAATGGGATAATGGCTGTCATTAATGATGGTCGATCATGGTTAGTGATGGTTGATGATGGTTGATATAATACTGGATTAATGTGGGTTAAACAATGCCATAAACCATCCCCCAGTCATCACCATGTTTATAGGTGGTACGCTTACCATTCCCAGTCATGGGTGGTTTATTTATGGCATTGTTTTACCCACATTACATGGAAATACCTGAGGACGGACTATCGAGATATGAAGCGAATGGATGCATTTGATGCGGAGTTGTTGACCATCAAACATGGGATAATTCAATGACATGTGCTGCAAACCATATTCCTGTAGATCGCAGGTACAAGGTTATATGTTGCAATTCAACCAAAATGGTCTAAGTCTCTATGAGTACAAAGACTTCAAAAAAGCTGGGACCTAGACATATCCAAGGTCATCCAATGTTTGTTGATTTTATGATTTGTATACAACACACATCGTTGCAATTTCGAACATGCGGAGTCCAGGGCAGGTGAAATGCGTGAAATGCCCAGGTCGCATCATTTGTTTGGGTGGAACTGGCTAAAATGGGACATGGATTCCAGAATTGGCAGTTGATCTTGGAAAATCCTTGCGTGGCGTACCCTATCTGAAAAAAATAAAATCATATCACGGTGGATCTGATGCAGTTTTGGCCTCTGGTTTGGCCTGTCTGAATGTAGGGTACCACCAAATAAAAGGCGTCATACTATGGCTCTACTATGGGTTTGTCTGAAAATGGGGTACCCGAAAAAAATCAACTTGTTTATCATAATGTTTCCTATTATATAAATAATACACCATTTCCAGACACACCCATACGGATGCTAAACAAGGAAAAATTGAATCCGTTGGTAATTGAGCCACGAAAAATACCCCCTATTCCATCTCATTATACTAGTTGCTTGATAGGTTTCCCTGATTTTGGATAGCTCATATTTCCCAATAACCAAGTCGTATGAGTCCTTACAATAAACAATCAATTCCAACTTTTATCAATTATTATCAACAATTTTCAAGAATTATTGTTATTGTCATAACAAATCAACTGTTGGGTATACCATTCCCCAATTGTTGGGTCCTCATTCCAGCCCCATCGCTGCCACCTCCTCCTCCTCCACAGCCTCCTCAAGAGCCTCTCGAGCGAGTTCATTGACCGGAATATGTCTTTGCAAGAGATGTTACATATATATATATATACAATATACATACATACATACATACATACATACATACATACATACATACATGCATACATGCATACATGCATACATGCATACATGCATACATGCATACATGCATACATGCATACATGCATACATGCATACATGCATACATGCATACATACATGCATACATGCATACATGCATACATGCATACATGCATACATGCATACATGCATACATGCATACATCATACATATACATCATACATGCACATCCATACATACCATACATCCATACATCCATATCCATCCATCCATCCTCCATCCATCCCATATACATACATATATACATATATATATATATATATATATATATATACGTGTATACACATAATATTTATGTCTTTATCTATGTTTGAAAATTTGGAACTCACCTTTCCCCTCTTAAACCGAATCCATGTTGCAATTGTGGTTTATATCTCCAACACTATCTTGGCTTTATCTGCGTTGTTATATAAGCATCATTTCAGTTGGTTAACCCTCTGCAAAACCTGCAAACGTTGCCTTTGGGAAAATCGGCAAATTTGTGAGCTAAATCCTCCAGATAAATGGATCATGTTTCCATCAATTAACATGGCAAATGTTAGTTTCCGTTGGTTAATCTGTTAATTAATCAATTCACCATTTTTTGCTGCTTGAAAAATCACAGCTGTTTGCTGCTTGAAAATCACCACCAGTTAACAGTTGGTCGGTTAATCCACCAGGGTGAAACCTCCATGGGGTGAAACCACATCGTTAACGTTAACGGTATAACGGTAGGATAGTTCCCATTCATCACCATTCAGCATCATTATTCACCCATTATTAAGCCATTAATCACCATTAATCGCCATTATATAATCGCCATTATTAAGCCATTAACCCGTTATTAATCATGATTAACCATAGTTAACCCAGTATTACCATTATTAACCACCATTAACCACGATTGAGTTCTCTTCACCACTATGAAGCCATGGTTCATGAAGCCATGGCTGGCACCTCGGGCAGCTCCGGCTCGAGGCGCATCTCGAAGTCGACACCGCCCTTTGACGACGAGTTTCACGTGGGAAACACGCACCACAAACGGAGAAATGCTTGGTTTATACGTGTTGATATGTTAAATATATGGTGTAAATACATGTTTATATGTTTATATGTGTTTACCTGTGGATGGGTTTATTTATGGTTCAAATATGGTTTATATGGGTACCATTAATATGGTGAGTTTAATCCCAACATGGGGCCCGCATCACCGGAATGGCGGTTTTTTCCAATGGGATCAACGAGTGTTTTTTTACCAAGGAAGTTGAGATGGTTTCCCAAGATTTTCAGAACCCATCAAGAAGGCCCCAAAAACGCAATGCCTGCTACCTCTCAAGCATCTCCAAAAATATCTCCTTCTACCCAAAAAGCAGGTATTTGGATGCTATGTTCAATGGATTGGTTTCAGGGAACATCCATGGGAAACCTTAGCTTTTGCTTCCAATCTCGAAATGTAAGTGGTAGATTTTTCCCTCATGTAATCCAGTTCTAAGATATTTACCAACTAGGATTTCCTTTTTTTCCAACTGTTTTATTCAAGTTTTCGTATCGCAAAGTATATGAGCCAAGGTAAGAATATGGGATTGATGATTAATGGGTTTTAGTCATCCCACAAAATTTTGGAATATATGTATATATATATATACATATTGGCAATCCTTTAAATGGTGGTATGACCACCCTTCCATATGTGTATCTAACTCTTGACCATGTAACACATTTTCCACGATATGGTTCACATATTTTTCCTGTATGGGTATGAAAATCGGCTACGCAAATTCCACCCTTAAAATTGCCGTTTGCATGGTACATTTGTCTTTAAACACACCAAAGTTTGTTACCATGACACTTTTTTTTTCATCGTGGTTTAAGAGTTTTACCATGTTTTTTTTTAAATAAATTGACCATGAATCCGTCTGAAATCCCGAAAAAAAAACATGTCAACTATAAGGGATCGCTGACCATCCCAAGATAGGATCATGACCTAGTGAGGTTGGATCCTCATGATAAGTAACAAAAACATTACATAATTTCATGGTTTACCACAATCAACCTTTAATACTAATCATTAACATGTAAAAAAAAACATGATTAGCCACATGTTTCCAGAAAATTCAACAAATCGCATGAAATCAGTATTTTGATTGATCAAAATTCAATAGAAGGGCATGGTCATCCTCCATTGATGTATCATTTTCTTTTTTGAACAAGTTGCCCTTGGCTAGTTCGGGGATGTCCACGTGTTTGAATTACAATAATTCACTCCCCTATTAAAAACAAGTGTTATCATTCAGCCATTTAAGGGGATCCAACATATTTTACTAAGTAGTATGTGTATATATATATATATTTCTGTAGTTAGTTCATAACCCCCAATAACCCAGGTAGTTTGTGATCCACTATTTCATAATCAATCAACCAACCAATCAATCAATCAATCAGTCAGTCAGTCAGTCAATCAATCATTTATCAACAATATCCCTAATGCTATATCAAAGCCTTAAAGCAAAGTATAATTAGATTGTTCAATCGTATTTAACTTCAAATTATATAGTCACCAATCAACAATGCTGTGTTTGATGGTTGATGTCAAATTATTGAATTCCAATTGAATTGCCATTGTACCTGATTAAAACCTACACCTTAACCAATGAACCATTATCTTTCATCTAAATCCCATTTATGCTCTCCAGTTTTCATGCTTAAAACCCATATAATATAACTCCACATTGTCATGTTTACCACCAAACTCGGTCTTCAAATGGGATCAACGAATGATTGATGGATGTTTTTTTTCCCAGCATTTTTCCCAGCATTTTTCCCAGCATGTTCATAGATTAATAACCATAACTGGCATGTTTTCCCATCATTTTCCCAGCATTTTCGTATAACCATAACTCCAGTTTTAGGGACCCACTCATCCATGCCTCCTCGAAGTCCCTCGGCGCGCAGGCCCTCACGGGAGAACGGGGACCTGGCATGGAGGATGTCAAGTTGGGATGAAAACATGTGTTCTAACAAAGGAAAAAATATTGGGATGACATGATGAAATTACTGATTGGTGGGCTAATGTGCGACATTAAACACTAACCCATACAGCACTATACATTATATAATATATATATATATAACCACCTACTGATTGGTGGTATACCTAGCCCTCTGAAAAATATGAAAGTCAGTTGGGATGATGACATTCCCATTTTCTGGACAAAATAAAAGCCATGTTCCAAACCACCAACCAGTGATGAAACTAGGATGTTGTAAAACACAAATTGTTGGGATAACATTGGAGGATGTCATCATTAACATTGGGATTTTGATCAAGAGAAATGAGGGAAAACACAGATGGGTCTTAACGAAGAAATTAAGACCCAGACCACAGATTGGAATGTCGATTTTTAGTATGAACGTGTGTTAACCATCTATTTCTTGGGGTACCTAATTTTGACACATGTATAAATTTCTAACTGATTTCACTTTCACCAACAAAAAAACAGGAGTTCACCAACAAACACGGTGATGTATAACCATGAATGACTGGACACATAAGGATTCTATGATCAAAAAGGATGGAACATGGGTTTTGATTAATAAACCTCGATAACCTTGGGGTTTATACCCTCTGGTAACCTAACATAGCTTAGTAAACCATGTAGTTCGATGATTTACCTATTAAAACTAATGGTTTTCCATAGCTATGTTAAATACCAGAGAGATTCCAGAAAGTAATTGTTTGTTTGGTTTTCCTAGTTCCAAAGCATGAACAGATCACCCGATTGCTGCCAACACATCTTCCAGCTGGGAAGATTCGAATTTCTGTCGACTTTCGCCCAAAAACATCGGGGCTGAAGCCCGGAAACTTGCCATCCAGCTGTATGGTTGAAACTTGCCACAGTCGAATCGTTGGATTCAAAAAAAAAAATCATCGAACTGTTTAGGTGATGAAAATTGAACATACCCTCTGGTTATGACTCACATAGCCATGGAAAATCACCATTTTTCTTAGGTAAACCATCTATAAATGGGCCATTTTCCATGGCTATGTTAAATAACCAGAGGGTATCGCAAAAAACAACTGGTGAAGTTTCGACATGTTCCACCAGTTACCCTCCGGTAATAAAATGTCATAAAATGGTGAAAACCCATGCACAACCACCAAAAATAGTTCGATGATTTCCCAGCGAACAAAAGCATCACTTTTTTTGGTGTTTTTTCTGTTGGCCATGTTTGATTACTGAAAGGTATATTCCATTAATCACCATTATAATCCAATAATCACCATTAAGACCATGATAATCACACGATTCTTGCAGTATTAATCCATTATTATCATCATTATCCAATTACTATCCCATTTAATTATCCACTATTATCCATTGTTATTCATTACCATCCCATTAACAACTAATTTTCTAACTAAGTTTCCCATAAATTTATCCATTACTAACATCCCATTAGCATCCCATTACTATCGAATTATTTTCCCATTAATATCCCATTATCAATGGTTAAGCCATTAATATTCATTAATATCCATTAATATTCATTGTTATCCATTACTAACATCCCATCAAATTATCCAAAAGGCGAACCATCAAATCATCAAATTATCAGCTTATCCATCAAATTATCCCATTACTATCCATGAATATCCATTACCCCTCTGGTAAATTAACATAGACCCTGGCAGTCATCGGGATTGGAAGATTAGTTTCCATTCAAACTACGCTATTTTCAGGGTCTATGTTAATTTACCAGAGGGTACTATCCATGAATATCAATTATTACCATCATATCCATTACTATCCATTATTATTCATGAGTATTCATTAGTATCCCATCAAATTATCCCATCAAATTATCCATTAATATTCATAATTATCCATTACTATCCATTAACAGCTAATTTTCCAACTAAGTTTCTTATAAAATTATCCATTACTAACTTTCTATTGGTATCCCATCAAATTATCGATTTTTTTCCCACTAATATCCCATTATTATCAATGGTTAAGCCATTAATATTCATTAATATTCATTAATATCCATTAATATCCATTAATATTCATTAATATTCATTAATATTCACCTGCTATGCCACATGTAGTGGGGGCTCAGGGGTCGATATATTTCAACTATTAATATCCCATGAAATTATCCATTACTATCCATGAATATCCCATTGAAATGATCCCATGATTACCATCTCAAAAGGCCAAAGGGCCAAAAGTATGCCCAGGAGCTTTGTTGGAGCTCTTGCGCTCGGATGAACTCGTCCACCCGACCTGAAACTTCACGAGGTTGCCGTAAAAAGGTCACTTCCCCGGTGCAAAACGCTTGGAAAAGCATAGAAAAGCTGAGATTTATGATGATTTATGTAGATTTTCTATAGTTTGATGTAGGTTTTATGAGATTTAACCTATAGAATTGATATTGAGTCAATGAATGTAGGATTAAATCCTATGATTTACACGATTTAAACCTATAGAATTGATCTTAAGAGGGAATGGATGAATGGAACATTTCAAACAATCAAAACATCAAAAATAGATTTTGCATTGGAACATACTGTACTTAAACTGTTCGGTGGTTGACAGCCCTGGTTGAAAAAAAAAACATTTGATGGGTATAACCCATTTTCAGACACGACCATATATTATAGAATACATACATGTATACATGTATATATATATACTATGTATGTATGTTCCATTCATATGTTTCATTCATGAGATCATTATGAATCCCAGAATCCCATCAAACCCAATCAGAGCCAAGCAGCAGCTGGCTGTGGTGGAGGCCTGGGCTGATTGCAACGCAGTGACGACAAGTGGAAAACCTGAAATTGAACAAATATCTATGAGACATATCATCGAACTAACCTCCTGGAAATATTTTTCCGCATCCTGTCAGGGATGGCAATATCTATATATAATATGCATATATATATATGTATTATGTAGATTCTATAGAACTGTCAAAATAAATTCTACTATGAATCCTATATATAATCATTAAAGAAATGAACTTCTCAAAACCAACTTATCGATGTATTTTTGGCCCCACCATCAGTCAGTTATCTGGGCCCCCAAACGCCGATATGTTGAAATCCAATAGGGACACATATCCAAAAAATCAGAGGGGTGTTGGGGGTAGCCCATGTTCAGACAAATCCACAATAAGCCACATGTTTGGCTTTTGCGTGCAAGGATTGGAGAAAACCAAACATGTTGATTAGTCAATTGATTATAATCCTAACTATTGGATTATTTTACAACAGCAAATCATATCTCATATATCCAATTTCCAAGTGGAAGACAAAACCATTCCATCAGGAACATCATAGTTGAATGGATCCTGCAAAAAAAAACCTGAATTTTCTCCGGCCCGTTGGTATGTTAAAACGCCATTAAAAAAGCTGTAACAATTGTTGTATCCATATGGATCCATCAATAGCTGATGAATATATACCTTGGAAACAGAACCCAGCTGCGGGTCCATTGCTATCAGCCATCCCCTTGGCTGAACAACTCAAAATATCATCCCTGGTTCTCCCCAATTGCACAAAGGAGATCAAGTTGCAACCTCTTTTTCATGGTTTTTCTCTGGCGCTGGCAACAAATTGCAACAGAGGTCCATGAAAAACTCTTCACATTAGTAGCACAAGAATCAACCAAACAAAAACACAGTTGCTATTAACATATACATATTATACAGTAAATAGTATGAACATAGGTATAAACTGGTTGCTTCCAACCAGTGGAACAGGTCGCCCATTGGTTTCCCACGGCCACCATGGCTGTAACGCCATGGCCGATTTGGTCGAGCAACAGAAGAGCCACGAATCAACTCTGCGGCCGGCCTCAGAGGGTGCGGATGTTCATGGGATATTCTGCTGGGATGTTCAGAAGGGACATCGTAGTATATGATGTATCATCTGTATATATAATATAACATATATATATATATATATATATGATACATATGATAATACATGATAATATATATTATTATTAATTATTATTTTATTATTATTATTACTATTATTATTATTATTGTATTATCTGCATGTATGCATGTAAACTATATATTGGGTTTCAAACGGAAATCAGCAACAATTTGGCAAAGACAATCCTTGGTTTTCACTTGACCTCTTGGTAAAAAGGGGAAACCACTAATCTTACCTTCATGGCCATCAACAACCCTATTATATAAGTGCCCCATGTCTTCCGTGCTGATGGTTCATATTATGGAGATATCATAATATTATGTCGTCATCCTATATCTTCTATCCTACGCTCATGAAACCACATCTGATACCATATTCATAGCACAGGGCATCATAAAAATAGAGCATGCATATGTGTCTATATACAGTTGATATTCACATACATTTTACAACACTGTAGAGTGTGCAATGGCGTTTTGTTATCTGATCTTCAACACAGAATTTCCCAAATACCACTCAGAAGGCATCCCAGCATTTCAAGCACATCAAAGAAACACACACACCGCTGTGTGTTAGGGGTGGGGGTATCTTACCCTTTGGTTATGCCTAACATAGCCATGGTATAGATGGCCCATAGAAATAGATGGTTTACCTATTAAACATGGTGATTTTCCATGGCTATGTGAGTCATAACCAGATGGTAAATCCCCCATTTCTCTGGTCCATTTGGCAGCCCCAACGGTGCATCTGCTGCTCCTTGCGAACCTCGGGAGATAAACCACTCAAAGATCCGCGGCTTTCACCGTCCCACGATGAACAAAAATGTGTGTCCCACCAAAATGCCGTGTCAGTTTTGTGGATGAAAAAGGCCCCTGGTTCTATTCAACTTTTCATGGTTGCATTAACATCATTAACCCCTCCATGGTTTTCTTCCCTAAAACTAGTCGGATACTCCGAAGGCAAAAATTGCACCTCAGAGCTTTGCCAAGCTTTCTCCCGTCTCTTTGAGGATGTATTGCCACAAGACCTTGATGGAATACCAACTCTGTGCTGGATATGGAATTTGGTATTCCATCCAGACCTTGGTGGCGTAGCTTCAACTAAACCCCACCTGGCGGCATGACGTACGCGTAGAATAACGAACATATGTTTTGTGGGGCAAAAGACCCGCTAGCTCAAACATGTTGATTCATTTCATCAACGTCAAACACATAATATCAGGGCCAATGTTCAACTCCAATCTTAGGATCTTTTATGATCTTATTGTGTTCTTATTCATGTTCAGTATTCCCTAAAGGATTGAGATTTTCCCGAAACCAGTTATCAGCATTGTATTATCCCATTATTTTCCAATGATGTCATTAAAACCCATTACCACCAATTATTTCCATTATTATTGTTCGTTGACCCCTCTACAGTTTATCAATAAGTAGTATGTTTTATTGTGCCGCATTGTTAATATCAGCTAAAAAATCACTAAATAGTTCATTTTTAACCCATATTAACCCTAAGTACCATCCGGTAATCTAACATAGCTATGGGAACCTTGTCCCATCTAGATCGATTATTTACCTATGAAACACATTGTTATTTTTCAATATGTCTAATTGCAAAGGGTATCCAATGTACTTGGTCATTAAATCCACATTATATCCATTGACATTGATATCAATATCCATTGGTTAGAATTTGATAGTTAATCCTCATTGGTATCGCTATTAGTGTTTGAAGCACATATTATGTTAGTCCTTGATTAACCGCCTAGGTGGTTTTGATAAGATCACCGATATATAGTTTATATATCCACTATACCTGCTATGTCAATCCCCGGTGGATGATTTGCATTACCGTGATTTGGTTATGAAACTCTCAGTAGCGGCTATATAACTCCCCATTTTTAAAAGGGAATATGACTAGATATGAATAGCCATGGCTCCTTAGCTCCCTCCTAATAGTTAATCAACTCCAATTATGTCCAATTAAATCGAATCTAGCTAATTCCATGCTAGATAAGCTAGATATGTCCATGTTTATCATGAATTTTCTTTGTCACCCCATGTCACCCCCACCCAAACATGGCCAGACGTTCCCCAGCGCTGCAGCGCTTGGCGCGCCTCCCAGGGCGTTCTGCAGCGCATCCGTCATGGCCTCCGCCAGCGGCTCAGGCTCTGCAGGCTGCGGGCTGCTGACCTTGGAGATGACCAGCTGAGCAGCTCAAAGGTGGTGGCTTCACCGGGATTTCACCCAGCAAAAATGGTGGTGAAACACCAGAAACCAATGGGTTTACCATGGTTTCACCAGCAAAAAGTGGGGGCTTTAATATGGGAGAACTATATGGATTCTACGAGAACGTGGGGGTCAGCAATCTGTGGAATTGATCCGGATTTTACACAGGTGGGGAGAAATGTGGAAGCCTGGTGGATTTGACCACCGAACTCACTAAACGTGGTGTTTCTGTTACCATCTGGTTATGACTCACATGGCCATGGAAAATCACCATGTTTCATAGGTAAACCATCTATTTCTATGGGCCATCTATACCATGGCCATGTTAGTCAGAACCAGAGGCTAAAATTTGTTACCATGAAAACTGCGCTTAAGAAAGGTGTCATGTTCGGTGTCATGTTCACTGGTTCCAAAGTCAGGATCAGGATCCATGGTGAGTCACTGCGTAAGCAACCCCCAGGCCCGAAGGCCTCACAGCCTGACAAGATACGAAACTTGCATACACTTATGGCCCTTTCCCAAATATTTTGATGGTTATATAGTCACTATATGTTACAGTCACTATTGTTATAGTCACTAAATGTTATAAAATATTATAAATATCTATAGATGGGGTTATCCATCCCGTCAATTTCAATGGGTTTCTATAAAGGACTTGTCACCGGGCCGAAGCGGGGGGAGGAGGTTACCTCATGGCAATGGAACAGCCATGATGAAATATTGGGGTTTGTCTGAAAATTGTGGACCCCAAAAACTACAGTCAACTAAAAACAATTGCCATGTGGGAAGTATACCCTCTGGTAAACTAACATAGCCATTGAAAATGGCCATAGAAATAGTGGATTTACCCATAAAAAATGGTGATTTTCCATTGTTATGTTAGTTTACCAGGCCGGGTACCCCATTTTCAGACACACCCAGCGTCGGCCAATGGGCCGTGGCCACGGCGGCTTTTTCGGACCTTTTTCGCGCCGGCTTAAGGATCGGCAGCGCGCAGATTGCTGGTCAGCGACTGCCTTGGGCAACCTGACCTTTTCAGTGGTTCAACCACTTGGAAATTATGACTTCTCATGACCCCAGAAACAGTGGATGTAGGGATGAAACCATCCCTTACTAGGACCATTGGATGGGGATGTCTTTTTTTATTGGGGGGACTATCATGAGCTTCGTGGTTGTCATGATATCATGGATACGAGCTGCTTGCAAAAAAAACAAACAAACTATGTCAAAATTATGAGTTTGAAGGGGGTATGCATTTAAATCATCGGTGGAACTAGGGTTTATGACTAGATGAACCACCAAGTCCGACTACGTGATCTGCTCCGCAAACTTCTCTGGCTTTGGTCGACTTCCGGCACTGAAGTCGCCCCATTTTTACCATCCGTTGGGCTTCATGAAAATTGGCCATGCCTTTCAGGATGATTTTTAGCCCCAAAATCGTTGGTCAAAGGGATGGTTTATGATTATACATGATGCCACAGACTTCCAATGCTTCTATTTTTTGAAAAACAACAAGCACTCCGAAAAAACATAGAAGAGTCAAAACTTACCTACATAGTTCTTGAGTTTCTTATTTTTTTTGGTATGGCCATCATCTCATCTCATTATTCTTAGGACATCCTTAAAAAAACTATGTGGAATATATAAACAGCTCAAATGTTATGAGCCACTATTTTCATATGCGGCCATCCTCCCTTTTACAGGAAATACCCTCTGGTTATGCCTAACATAGCCATGGTATAGATGGCCCATAGAAATAGATGGTTTACCTATTAAAAATGGGTGGATCTTTCCATGGCTATGTCACAAATAACCAGATGGTAATGGTAATATATCACATACTATTTATATTAGTCCCAACTAGAAACAATGATATGGTTAATACATTAATACACTATTTATAAACCATATTAATATTATATCACATGTTAGTGTATCACCTATTTATGAACCATATTAATATACTATTTATGAACCATAATAATGAACCACATATTAATGTATCACATAGCTTTATTTTTCCCCAGACCGTGTCGGCGCAAACGCCAAACAGCGCGTTTAATTTACAGATCATCGTCAGATGCATCGGGGATCGGCACATCGACGGCACCTGCGGGGCACTATATAAGGATCCCCATGATAGGTTGAAATCGAACAGTAGGCTAAATTATAACCCATAGGATCCATGGTGCTGGTATATATGCTAACATTTGGGGTATATTGATGGTAAATGTTACCATATATAGCATACATGGATCCTATGGGTGACAGATGATAATGATATCATACAAAGTTGATTTATGATCCATTTTGGTTACATATAGTTACAGGCTGATGTATAATTTCTATGTTAAGTAGATCATAATAGATCGACTATTACCCCAACAGCATGTAACTATATGTAACTCAGCTGGCAAAAAAAACACACACAATATTAACCATTATTAACCATTACTAACCATTACTAACCATTATTAACCACACATAACTATCGACTGAGTGAATGGTTTACAACTGGATAAAAACCTCCATGGCGGAATCCCAGGGATGACCATGGGACATGATGGGACCATGGGACCATGGGGGCTGCAATCCATCAGTTTTTTTCAGCATCAGATCTTTTGAATCTTTTGTTCTATCAATGGGAGATCTCCAGGATCCTAAAATGAAGCTACTGTACTAAAAAAAAAAGACCATATTTTGTGATGATATTCACTTACATAGGCCTAAGAAATAGGCCTTATATATGGTAGGTACCTCCATTTTAGGATCCTGAAATTCCCATTGATTCTATGGAATACACCCAAACAAGCCGCCTGGTAACTGGTATTCTTCCAAAAAATATGGAACATCACCCTGCTATTAATGGGTAAATCAACTATTTCGACTGGGCCATGTTCAATAACAAACTGTTAGTTTAGCAGATGGTAAATCGCATTAAAAGTTCATGAAATCCCATTCAAGTCCATGGAACATCCCATGAATAATCCATAGTTAACTATAATGGTTGGCTGATGGTTATATTAATAATTATCAACCGTTACTAACCACTATTAACCACTATCAATCAATGGATGCATACTGATAGTTCTATACCAGTTGAATTTTTGGTTCAGAATGGTTAGTTATAGTACAATGACTGGTATCATTAATGGTAAGTGATTCGTACATACCAATTGGGATTTCAACACTAAGCAATACCATTAATTTATCATTACTGATAATAATACCATTAGATACCATTAGGTATAATATCTGATGCACTAATATTAATATACCATTACTGATAATAATTACTATACCATTACTATACCTCTCCCTGTTCTATACCACTTCGCTGCGCCGTCGCCTCCAGGGACAGGGCCAGGACTCATAGGACCGAGCCCAGTGGCCATGGCAGTCATGGCAGCCAACGGTGCAGCCAAGGCCTGGAAGGACCCCAAAATTGCTGGCATATATAGAATTATTAATAATTATTACATTATAATATAAATGAATATGAATATATATATATATTATATACATTATATTATATTATATATATTACATATATATATTATATATTAAATATATTACATTAGATATATATATATATATATATATGATATATGATATATGTTCATCAGTTCATCACACCAAAACTGATGGAAAATCGTAGGTGCTAACGTACACCCCCATTTTTTCATCGGATTTCAGGTGAATTCATCCCAGAACTGGAAATTGGTTGCTTCTCCAAAGGTCTTCCGGCTCCACCAAGACCAATTGAAGCAGATTCCACAGGTTTCCACAGGTCAGACATTTCAAACATGACATCTAACGAGATTCAACAAAAACAGCTCAAAGGAGCCGCAAGATCACAAAATTTCCATGTTTGCTTCGAAATCCATGATTTTGTCATTTTACAGAGCAGACACATCTATATGTTTTTTCCCCACCTGCCAGGTGAGGGTTGTTAGATTTTATGTCAGTTGCCTCCTCGTCCTCCTTCTCCTCCTCCTCCTCCTTCTCCTCGTCCTCCTCCTCTCCTCCTCCTCCTCGTCCTCCTCGTCGTCCTCGTCCTCCTGCTCAACTGCGACTCGCGATCCACAGTGTTCGCTGTCGGACCTCAACCACGACCATCCACGCCCAGTGTTCCCTGCCGGACCTCAACCACGAGCATCCACGCCCAGTGTTCCCTGCCGGACCTCAACCACGACCATCCACGCCCAGTGTTCCCTGCCGGACCTCAACCACGACCATCCGCGCCCAGTGTTCCCTGCCGGACCTCAACCGCGACCATCCGCGCCCAGTGTTCCCTGCCGGACCTCAACCGCGACCATCCGCGCCCAGTGGTCCCTGCCGGACCTCATGTAGGAAGATATGGGACAAAGAATGTGCAGAAGAAAGTTAGAAAGAATGTCAGAAAGAATGTCAGAAGATATGCCAGAAGATATGCCAGATAGAATGCCAGAAGATTTGCCAGATAGAATGCCAGAAGATATGCCAGAAGATATGTCAGATAGAATGCCAGAAGATATGCCAGATAGAATGCCAGAAGATTTGCCAGATAGAATGCCAGAAGATAGAATGCCAGAAGATATGCTAGATAGAATGCCAAATAGAATGTCAGAAGATATGTCAGATAGAATGCCAGAAGATATGCCAGATAGAATGCCAGAAGATTTGCCAGATAGAATGCCAGAAAATATGCCAGAAGATATGCCAGATAGATATGCCAGAAGATATTCCAGAAGATATGCCAGATAGAATGCCAGATAGAATGCCAGAAGATATGTCAGAATATATGCCAGAAGATATGCCAGATAGAATGCCAGAAGATATGTCAGATAGAGTGCCAGAAGATATGCCAGATAGAATGCCAGAAGATTTGACAGATAGAATGCCAGAAGATATGCCAGAAGATATGCCAGATCATATGCCAGAAGATATGCCAGATAGAATGCCAAATAGAATGTCAGAAGATA